TGTTTTGCTTCACTAGGATGTCTCCTAGTGATTTTTTAACAACCAGATTTTGCCACTAGCATCGCAAGGACTGCTTCTAGTCATTGTAGTATGTCATGTCAATGGCTTAATAGCCCACAAGGATCCAGCAGAGTATTTATTTTTATATAGCAAGTTAAAGATTCCCTTCTTCCGTGAAGGAAAAAAAAAGGCATAAAAGATACATCGGCATTACCAGCTAATTTGAAGGTTTCCAAACATAAGAAAAATAATTCGTTGGCTCTGTGCTATGATGAGTAGCTCCCCCCTTCCCCCACAAGATCTGGCTGTTGGTTTTATTTTGATATGTAACATCCTAATGCTTAAACAGCTGAACGACCTGGGTCTTGGAACAATTACAACACTCTGCCCTGACTTCTTAAACCTGCTGACCACAATTTAATTAACACGGAAATCTCGTGAGTCCTTTCAGACAATGTGAAAGAAGTTGTTTACTAAGTTTGCTTCGGAGAAGTTCCCAGCCACGAAGAAAATAATAGAGTTATAAGAAATGAAAGTGAAATCAGCTGTTTACATCATACGTCACAAGGCATATATTAAAGTGCGGAGGTTTATTTATTCACACTCCCTAGCAAAGGCAAGAAAGTTTAAAGTGGCTGACCTATACCAGTAACTCGAGCATGCAAGAAAGAAGTATGCACTAAACAAGACCTTTAGTTCATACTTTGTGGATTTTCTCGATAATTTGGCACCATGAATCCTGTGATGTAAGTACCCACCAACCAAACTTTCTCAGCTGTCTCTCTATCTCCTCTTCCAAAGGTAAACTTACGTCTTCCAGGATCACTTAGCATGTTGTGATGGTGGGTTGGGGTGGAAGTTGGGGGTAGGTTCATCAACTGGCAGTTTATAATATCTGTGAACATTCCTTCTTATTTCCTCTGTTTCACTGAACCCTTCTACTTCCCCTTTTTCCTCCCCTCCTCCAATTCCCCCTATCTCTATCTTTCCCAAGTTCACTTCTTTTTGGTCTCTCACTTCATATTTAGAGTGTATGATAAAAAAAAATGATAGTCAAATATGCGAATTTAATAAGTATCTTCTCTGTAAATAACAGCTTCAGTACTTTGCATTGATTCTAACAGATTTGAGGAAAAGGAATCACTAACTTGCATCGGTTCAAATAGAGATAAGAGGTAGAGGAGAAAAGATTGCCAGCTACTAACCCAAAGAAATGTATTTGATCCAAGAATCTGAGTTCATCCAGATTTGTTTTTCATATTCAGAAGAAACTCACAAGTTCTGACATTTCCGTTGCTAAGACTGCAGGGCTCTTATTAGGCTTTTCCTTTTATAGAAGTTAATTTATTGAACATCATTTCATTTATTTCAACTAGTATGTAAATCAGATCTGTATTTATATAAATTCAATTTATCCAACGATTCTTTCTCACCCTTTCATTAAATAGAATTCAATGGAAGTGAAAAAATATTGAAACAATTAAAGTGTATACACCTCCACTTGCACATGTGTATTACACAAATATACTTGTGTTAACACATTGTTATGTACATATATCTGTGTGTGTACACTATGTGCTTATGCATGAATATTCACATGCATGCATACGTGCATTTTCACTTTGCGGCCAACCTTCTGGTTAATGATGCATTTCTCTGTATTTAGCTAGGCTGCTCCTCAGACTACAGGTACAGACTATCCCCAAGGTCATAGCTGAAGCCTTTCCAGCTTGGTAGATCCTGCCAGCATTTACATTCTGCTGGCCTAGCCTTTGAGAGCTCTAGGGAGTGGACAGAGTAATTGAACTGTGAATGGTATGAAGATCAAAGGGGAAGAGACTGATGAGTGGTTCTGGCTGTGGAGGTGGAGACTCTCATCCTTTTTCAGTTAATGTATTTGCCAATTTCTCTGTAGATGCATCTTCTGAAAAGGCCTACAACTGAGGTTCAGTACAACTTAAATTCTATTTTCTATCCTCACTGTTATTCACTTTGACTTGTTCCAGCTTTCTTTGCTCCTAGTCTTGGTTTAGGGCCCCCACCTCCTAGTTACCTATACTAACTCTATACCATATTGGTCATGCTATACAGGAATAAAAACATAAATATATTAAGAATTTTAAATTCTCAAATAAATGGAATGTTTTATTATTCTTATTATCTACCATAAGTACCAGAAAAATCTTTAGGTTACATCCATGCATTGATATCTGTCTTGCACCCTAAACATACATAGTTAACTTGATTCACCCAAACATCCAGAAAGAATTCTTTAAAGGGGGTAGGGTGACCAGTAAGAGTAAATGACTTCTGTGGTCCCTTCCCACCAAAGATTCAATACTTGTTTCTGCCTCCATGCTTTGAACATTCCATTCCTCCCTTATTGAGCACCTTCTTTTCTTCTTCTCTTTGCCAAACCATGACCATCATGTCTTTTAAAACTAGTTCAAAGCTCACCCACATCAGCTTTCCTGAATAACACCTGACCAACTGACATGTCCTTTGACCTCTTGGGCAATGAGCATCTCCAACTTTCCTGTGAAAATGAACCACTTTTCAGGTCTCCTCATCCCACGTGATCAATAGGGGTGTGGTACCAGGCATGCTTCCTTTCCCTGGGATGGAAAATCTGGGAGAAAGGAGGCTAGGAAGTAGCATTTGACAAAGGGATCCTGATAAGGAACAGCTTCTGCTGGGTCTTACTGGATATAGATTCCTGTCCATCCTTGATGAGATTAAATGATCCATTGGACTGTGAGCTCCTGGAGAGTAAGGACTTTCTGTATCCTTAGCACTTCTGCACAGTGCCTAGCACATAGTAGGTACATAATAAATGTTGGTTCATTGATCCCTGAACTTCCTTCTAGCTATGGCTGTGGCATTCTTGGAGTTTAATTTCAGGCTCCATTTGTACATTCCTCACCTTCCCTTCTTAGAATCTCTCTCATGTTGCAATGCTCAGCTCCAGAGCTACTTCCCACAGGAGGCTTTCTTGATACCACCCCCTCTAACCCCCCTCCCTTCCACTGTGACTTTGTGTTTACTTTGGATACATTTGGCATTTTGGGGTGTATGTGTATTGTTTTCCCTAACAAAATGTAAGTTACTGAAAAACAAGGGTTGTTTTCCTGAGGTTCTTTTGTCTTGGTATCTTTGGGGTCTAACACAATGTGTGGCATTTTGTAGGCACTTAACAAATGATTTTTAGCTAATTCGTTAAAATGAACCCCAGTTTATCAATGTTCCTCTTAAAGATGTTATCAACCAGAACTAAACAATACACTTCAGAAGTAGTCTGACCAAGGAAGACTACAGTGGAACTATTGCTTCCCTTGCTTCATAAATATATGTGTGTGTGTGTGTGTGTGTGTGTGTGTATACACATACATATACACAGACACACATATGTATATATCTGTTGATGCAGCCTAAGATTGCATTTGCATTTTGAGGCAGCCACATCACACCAAAGACTTACATTGAGATCCAAATCAACTAAAATGCCATGAATTTTTCACATAAAATTGCTTTCCAACTATTTTTTCCTGAAACCTCTGCTTCTACATTAAAAAAATATTAACATTCAGTGCATCACATTTATTTCTGTTCAGTTCCATCTTGTTAGATTCAGCTAATCATTCCTTCCTCCTGAGGTATGTTTTGGTTCTTAATTCAGTTATCCAGTGAATTAGCTATTCTTCTCAACTATATGTTATCCATAGATTTGATAAGCATTCTATCTATATATGTCTTCATCCAAGTAGGTGATAAAAAAAAAAAAACAAACTCAACATTCGACAGCTCCTATTGCATGCCACTCGAGAGTTTTTTGCAGTCTGGCAGCTAGGTGGTGTGGTGGATAGAGCACCTGGCCTAGAGGTGGGAAGACTTATCTTTCTAAGTTCAAATCTGGCCCCTAGCTATATAACCCTGGGGAAGTCACTTAACTCTTTGCCTCGATTTCCTCATCTGTAAAATGAGCTGGAGAAGAAAATGGCCAATCACTCCATTGTCTTTGCCAAGAACACTCCACGTGGGGCACAAAGAGCTGGACACGATGATAACAATGATAAAAGAGACTGAACCCCAGCAACAACAAGCGAGCTCCCTTTAGGTGACCTTGGAACGACCTCATCTCCGCAGCTTTTCATAGGATGACAGATGGAACACAGACCGCACTGCAGACCAGCTCCTACCCAAAGCAGGAGTACCATCTATATGTGACAATGGTCTTGCCATCTCCACAAGCAAACACAAAGTCAATATGCTCCAAGGCCATCCCTTCCATTTTCTGATAGTGATCATGACTCAAAAGTCTTCCCACATGCAGTGGGGTGGTTGAAATGAGCACCTCATTTTAGCCTTGATATTTCAGGTCAGTTACAAGATGCCTTCTGTCAGGTGAAAGATGTCCTTTAAACTTCACACACACTATCGCACCATTCCCTTCCCACATTCTCTAGGCCCAACATGCTGTTACTTGTGGTTTCAGAGATCTACAAGGTCTTGGTCATTTTCAGCCTATCAATTCCCACCATATCAAATATGGTGTTCAAAACAGGACACAATACTCCAGACAAGATCTGACCAACACAGAGAATAAATGGAATTAGCACCGTTATTCACTCGAGACGTCATACTTCTCTTAACACAATCTCTAACAGGGATAGGGAACCTGCAGCCTTGAGGTCATGTGTAGCCTTCTAGGTCCTCTGGTGCAGCATTCTGACTGAGTCCAAGTTTTACAGATCAAATCCTTTTATTAAAGGGATTTGTTCTGTGAAGTTTGGATTCAGTCAAAAGGCCTCGCTTGTGGCCTTGAGGCTAGAGGTTCCCCACCCTTGCTCTAACATCATGTGCTTTTTTCATTTCCACATCGTACTGCTGACTCATAACCCCAAGCATCTTGTTTCTACATGCGAACTCCAGAAGAAAACAAGTGGTTTAAAAAAACAATCAATATGGAACAACATAGATGTTGGGGCACTGACACTACTTACCTCTGTGGCACAGGAAGGATCTTTTCATGAATCCACGACGAATAGTGAATAAAATTGGCATCAGAATCAGGACAGCCTGGGTTCAAAGTCTACCTCTGCAGTGCACTGGCCTGTGACCCTGGGTAATGGGAACTTGGCATAAACAGAACAGATATTCTGTATTTTTTCATTTATTCTGTAAAACACAACTAATGCTAAATTTCAGAAGCAGGGACCATGTCTTCTTCCTTTGTAACCACTTAAAGCAACTAGTACAATATTCTATCACCGTGGGTACCTGCCCAATCAATGTTAACTGACTAACTGCCTCTAAGATGATAAAACAGAGTGATTGAGACATTGAAAACCTGGGGGAAAGGGCAAACAGAATTTGTATGTGAGCTTAGGTAAATCATCTAAAATTCAAAACTAAGTCTCCAGTCGTGGAACTGATATTTTATCTTTTGAATATGAGTACAGTAACTGGGTGCCATGCAGGTATCAATCTCCTGTTACAGCTTCAGGAGGGGAGCAGAAGGCCTAGATCTACCACAATTGAGCTTACCTGTTTCCATAATACAACTCTTTGGGAAGTGAACTTCAAGCATCTTGGGTTGGTGTTTGTGTCAGAGGAAATGTAACCCATTTCCTTTTCTCTCCTCTCAAACCACTGCACTCATCAGATGAGTGCATTGCTGTGGTCACATGAATCTAGCTCAGACTCTGAGACTGCTGTAAGGAATGGTTTCTTCTCAGAAAAGCAAAAATCCAACCCTATCAAGCTTCTTTTTCCTTTTCTTGTTCTGCTAATCTTGCCTTTTCTCTTCCCTCCCCCTCATGCCTCTCTATTGTACAAATTACTCAACTCTGGTTCATCCCTTCTCTTCCCCCATCATGAATCATCAAATAATGCAGTGTGAGTCACTACACACTCCTGGCACTAGAAGACAAACTAGATACATACCTTGTTCTCTAAGTTGACTGTAAATTTCAGCTTAGTCTTCCTTAAAGCCCCTCTGCTACACTTGGAGGTTCTCTGAATTAGCCCTGAAAAAAATAATAGGACAGGCTTGCACAACATATGGCCTGCAGGCTGCTTCCAGCCACCCAAGGATGTTGGGTAGCCACCCAAGGATGTTGGGTGGCCCCCCAAAAAATGGGTTGCCACTGTGTATCCTTCTGTTTGTCCCGTGACCTGCAGCAACCTCCATCATCAGTCTGTCTCTAGTCTAACCTATCTGTAGCCTGAAGAAGTTTAGCCTATTTTAATTTTGGCCCCAACCTACTGCCAAGTTACACAGGTCTGCAATAGTATAATGAGAGGCAGCCTGGGTCAAGAGATAAAGAATTGGCCTCACATTCCGGGAGGTTCAATTTCAAATCGAAGCTCCACTACATACTGACTGTGACCCTGGCAACTTAATTTAACATCTTGGTGCTACAGGCAAATTTCTAAGATTACCAATTGCAGAAAAAATGCCAACCTGCATTGGGGGAGGGTGTTCCTTACTGGGAGCCACCTATGCAGATGAAATTACTGGTCCAAAATATCATTATGATAATAATATCTCAGATTTGCATGATACTTTATGGTTACAGAGCAATTTAGCTGTGTGGTATCATTTGATAGCAACCTTGTAATGTAAGCAGAGCAGACACTGTTATTCAGACTTCAGAATATGTATGATTTCATAGTTGTATGAAATGTATGTGTGTGTATGTGTATGTATATATATATATGTATATGTATATATGTGTGTATATATGTGTATATATATGTATATATATATATATGTGTGTGTGTGTGTGTACATATATATATATATATGTCTTCAATGACACAGATAACAACCCCTCCATGTCTTAATAGCTAGCATTTAAGGCTTATGGTTTAAGATTCGCCAAATGCTTCACAAATATTTCATCTTATCCTTACAACAACCCTAAGAGGTAGGTGTCCTATTTCTATCCTCATTTTATAGATGAGAAAACTGAGACAGAGGTTATGTCACTTGCCCAGAGCCATAGAAATAGTGTCTGAGGTCTGATATCTTCCTGATTCCAGGTTCTAGCTACCTCCTGTTTCATGACCTGCTGTAGCCAAAAGAATTTATTACTTAAAGCTAACCTTCTTGTGATGAGCCTCTTCAAGCTTGACTTGGTTGATCCCTGAATGACATGCTTAGTCTGCTGACCTGCCAAACCTTAAAATACCACCATTAGTCCTGGTCATTGGCATAGCCTTTGAGAATCAGGTACTTTGTACCAGCACCAAGAATGAAACAATCCCTCCTTTGAAGGAACTTTCTAATGTGGAAGACAAGTACACATATAAATACACTTGGCCTATGTGTAGAATAAATAAATACAAATGCAGGGTACCCCAAAAGTCTTGGTGCAGCTTTAAGTTAATTAAAGCTTAAAACTGCACTAAGACTTTTAGGGCAACATATAAACAAAGAAGTTAAGTGCCAAGGTCATTTAGGAAGAGAGGCCCTAGCATCTGGGGGACTACAGAAAGGCTTAATGTAGGAGCAGTTGCTTGAGTTATGTCTTTTTTTTTCTCTTTAAAGGAGCCATCTAAATTTCTCTTTCGCATTCATCACACTTTTTAAATGTTTTATTTTGAACTTAAAAACAGCTTGAGTTATGTCTTTTTTTTTCTCTTTAAAGGAGCCATCTAAATTTCTCTTTCGCATTCATCACACTTTTTAAATGTTTTATTTTGAACTTAAAAACAGCAAATAAAATAAGAATTTCTATGTATGTAGTAGAACAGAACAGTATTGTACATAAAATTGTAAATTCATATTATGTTCAGCTTTGTTTTTATTTTAAAACTCAGCATGTAACTTTCAAAGCTGTTCTGCTTCTCTATGATTCTCTGTACCCTTTTTTTTATTAAAAAAAAAGCTTAAGTGACTTTCTTTTGCTTCTTTCTTTCTTTTTTTTGGGGGGGGGCTGCCTCATCCGTAGTCAGCCCTCCCCTTGAAAAACAAAAACAAAACCATTGCAACAAGTATGCATAGTCAAGCGAAAAAAATCCTCACATTGGTCATGTCTGAAAATGTTAAGCCGTGTTCTTTGTTGAGTTTATCACCTCTCTGTTGGGAGAATTAATGCAGTTCAGTAGTATGCTTCATCATGTCCTCCAGAGTCATGGTTGGTGTGGCATTAAACAGAGTTCTTACTTCTTTTAAAGTTGTTTTCTTCACCATGTTGTTATTACATAACTTGTTCTCCTAGTTCTACTCACTTTATTCTGTATCAGTTAATACAAGTCTTCCTGAGTGCCTCTGAAACCGTCCCTTAAATCATTTCACAAAGCACTACACTATTCTATTACATTTATAGGCCATGATTTGTTCAGCCATTACCCAGGTGTTGGACTCAACACCTTAATTTCCAGTTCTTTGCTCAACAAAAAGAGGTGCTGTAGATATTTTAATACATAGAGGTTCTTTCCCTCTCTCTTCGGTCTCTGGGGTACAGGCCTAGTAGTGGTGCTGTTGGGTCCCAAGGGTATACACACAGCTTAGTGACTTTGTTTCCAAATTGTTTTCCAGAATGGCTACAGCAATTCACTAGTCCACCAGCAAGGAATTAGTTAGTGTGCCTGCTTTCCCACAACTTCTCAACAGTTGTCATTTCCTTTTTTGTCAACTTTGCCAACATACTGGATGTGTGGTGGAACCACAGAGTTGTTTTTTTAACTTGTCTTTCTCTATTAGTGATTTGTAGCATTTTGATATGGCTTTTAAAAGCAAGAGCTTGGATTCCTTACTTTGAAAACTACCCATTCATGTCCTTTGACCATATGTCTATTGGGAATGGCTCTTTTTCTTATAAATTTGAATAAGTTCTGGATGTATCTTGGATATAAGACCTTTATCAGAAAAACATATTGCAAGGATTTTTTCCAGTTAACTATTTCTCTTCTAATTTTAACTATATTGTTTTTGTTTGTACAAAACTTTTTAAATTTTATATAATCAAAATTGTTCATTATACTATATGGTTGGAAAAGGTATTGTCTTCCTTGCTCCTCTAATTTATTTATGATGTAACTCTTTATGTTTAAGTTGTATATCCATTTAGAGCTCACCTTATTGATACATGGTGTGAGGTGCTGTTCTATATCCAATTTCTACCAGATTGTTTTCCAATTTTCCCACTTTTTTTTTCCTTTTAACAGTGTGTCATTACTCTAGTAGTTGGGATCTTTGGATTTTATTAAGCACCATGCTAATATGTTCATTTCTTCTGTATGTTATATACCTAACCTTTTCCACTCATCTACTTCTAGATTGTTTAACCAGTATCAAATAGCTTTAGTTCTGGTACTTTTAGGTTCCCCATTTTTTTCATTATTTCCCTGGAGATTTTTGACCTCGTTCCACTAAGTAAACTTTATTATTTTTTCTATTTCTGTAAATAAAGTATGATACTGAATAAGTAAATTAATTTAGGTAGTAATGTCATTTTCATTACACTGGTGCAGTTTATCCATGAGTAAATTAATATTGCTGCAATTATTTAGGCCTGTCTTTTTCTGTAAAGAATGATGATTTTGTAATTGTATTCATACAGTTCTGAATATATATTTGGTAATTTCAGTCTTTTTTTTATAGTCCTTTTTAGGTCACTTTCTGACTCTGCCCCCTTTGAGTGATTTTTCTAGGGACTGGACCTGGAATCCATTTTGGCCTCTTGTTAGAAAGGGCAATTCACAGCTCACCAGCCTTGATCTCTGTCCCAAACAGCTTCTGAAGGTTCAGAGTTGGCCCCAGTTGGGTTCTTTCCTTCAGGCTTAGTGGAATGCCACACATCCACAGTTTTCTACCCCAGTTCCCTCTGTTTCTCAGTTCTCTGGCTGAGCTCTTTTGTGGCAGTGCTGTAACCCACTACTGTACACTGAGCAAGCTTCTACATTTTGGATTTCTGAAGCTCTGGGAGGAAGTGGGGGCGGGGTGTAAAAGGAGTACTAATGACAACCATGGATCAGCTTGTACAGTCCTGCTGCAGGTGGGTGATGAGGAGGAGGTGCTGAGCGACTACCTCATTAGGGACTGGCAAGTAGCCTTTTGTGCTGTTAGTTCACTAAGTTGTTATATCATTTGGGTTCTTAGACCCTAGAAATGGATAAACTTGAATATTTATCTCCTTCCTGTACCTAGTTACTGCTTTGGAAAAGTTTAAGGTTGTGACATCCTCCATCTTGCTGGTCATGTTGATAGATAGACTCTCAAATATTTAATATATTCTGTAGTTATTTTGAATGGAATTTCTCTTTCTATCCCTCCCTGTTGGGTTTTATTAGTAATATACAAAATACTGATGATTTCTGTGGATTTATTGTATATCCTGTAATTATGCTTAAGTTATTATTTCAATTAATTTGTGATTGACTTAGGAGGGTTCTCTAAATAGACCATCATATGTCATGTATAAAAAGCTATAGTTTTATTCTTGATCTGTGTCTTAAAAGAACAAAGGGCCTCTATGAGTAGAGTAAAGGAAGAAATGCATTCCAAGTATGTGGAATGGCCAGTGCAAAGGCATGGAGATGGGAGACAGCAGCCTGTGTGAGAGAAGTCCACTTTGACTAGACTTTGGAGCCACCTCCTTGCCACAATAAGATATTGGAATTGAACTTAAGAAAAAACGGCCAGGGTGAGATATTCTTTTTTTTATAAATGTGTAAACTGAGTTTCAGAGAAGTTAAGCAACTTGTTCAGGTCTCATAACTGTAATTGGTGTAAGCTGGTCTAGAAAGCAACTCTGATTTCCAATCCAGTACTCACTTCACAGTACCATATTGTCTCTCTCACATGAGGGCAGAAAGGAATGACAGAGCCCAAGTTCTGTCCTCATGCCGTTGAATGCAGGAAGGTTATGGAATGGCAGCTGATGGCAGCCCAATAAAGCACCTCTGCTTTCTTTCCAAACTTCCGTTCCACAGAATCCTTTAAATACAGAATGTGTCAGAGCAGCAAAGATAACATCTCTGGGTCCCACCAGCCCCCACCCCCCACATCACAATATTATAGCCAAAATTCCAGGACAATGACCTGAGCATTTCTGATGATGACAGTGTTATCCTGGAAGGAAGAGCAGTCTTCTCTAAATAATTCTCCCAGTGAGCCTGTCTTCTGCCTCTTGCCAGATTAATGTATGTCCTTTTGAGTTGTTTTAATAGTACCAACTTTTTTTTTAATAGTACCAACTTTTAAAGAATATTCCCCAAATGATCTCTCCATGCCCTTTGCTTTCCATGTCATGGTTAGGTTAGTGGTATGCCTTTAAAAGTCTTTGCCAGCAGGTTAATTCCTTTCTTTGAGCCCAGTTTCCATCAGTGTCATCAGAATCCACTTTTCATTTTCACCTACTGATATATACTCAAATATTAAGCTCAGAGTGATGTCCTATATCTACCTGAAACATAGCCACACTGGAAGAGAACTATCAGAGGCATATATGAAGTAATGATGGTGCAGAGGACAGAAAAAGGTAAAGAGTATGTAAAGTCATGTTGGACAGCCAGCCTAGAAGAAATGAGGAGCTCTGTTCTGTGACCTCTGATAAACAATGACCAAGCCAATGGTATCTGGGCAACCAGTTGGACATTGTTGCTTTGCCAGGTTGAGATCATAGTCCAAGGCAGCAACACAGTGGGAAGGGAACCCAGCAACTGGCACAGACATTTATAGAACCCTAATCCACTGCCTACCAAGCCATATGTAGGCTAGTGTCCCTAACAAATGCTTAGAAAAGGGGACATCTACAAGATATTCCTACCTCCAATATCTGTTTGCCCACGTCAAATTATTTTACTTCCTCTATGCAAAAATAATCTGTTCTCCACTATTCTTTACATGCAATCATTGAAAAGATGAAGGCAACTGCTTAGACAAGGTATTCTGAGCTCCCTGGATGAAAGGTAATGTAAATGGTTTTATGGTAGCTGCTATGCAGGGTAGTCTCTGCTAGCCTTCTGCTCGTCCAGGATATGGCCTCATGGTGACTTCTGGGTATATAATCTCAATTGTTCCCTGCTTCTCTAGGGCCACTCGTAGGCCACTTCAATTATATTGAATGGCAATTATATTGAGACTGCAACTTTCTATTCCAGACAAGTATCTCATTTAGGATTAGACATTCCCCAAATCATCTCTGGTTTTGCATGCAAATGATTTGAGCCAGAACAAAAGGAAAGGTCTTCATCCACCTAGCTTACTTTCCTACCTTTATTATGCATATCTGTCAACAGCAAAACCACTATTGCTATGGCTGATGAAAAATCTCATCTCCCTACATAAACAAGTGTTCATGGAGCATTTACTATATGCCCAGCGCTGTTTAGGACACTGTGGGGACATCTTAAGGAAGCAGAAGCTTGGGGTAGCTTGGTGGCTCAGTAGATAAACCATCGGCCCTGGAGTCAGGAGGACCCGAGTTGAAATCTGGCCTCAGATACTTGACATTTACTAGCTGTATGACCCTGGGCAAGTCATTTAACCCCACTGCATCACACACACACACACAAAAAAGTAGAAGCCTATTGCCTTAAAGGCATTTCCAGTCTTTAGGAGTCAGGCATGTAAAGTGAAGAACACTGACTGAAGAGTTAGCAGTTTTTATTCTAAGACCCACAATTTCTTTTTCACACAAGTAGCAAGAGGCAACAGGAAGCTTTCTCAGTTCAAGCTGCCCTTCATGTTCTTCTGGGACCTGGGGTCTATCCGTATTCAAGGACATAGCAAGAGAAACAATCCAGAAATCACTAAAGCATTTAAATTTTGGTTTGGTTTGCTTTCAGTTTCTAATGTAAATCTCCCCCAGGGTATCAGCTGTGAAAGTCAGGAAGCAGAAGACAAAGGCAGTGACGGCACCTGGCAGGTACTGGACTCCTGGTGATTGATACATCCTGCTTCAGGGTTGCAGCCTGTCTCTAGGGGCTCAACTCTAAGAAGGAACATAGGATCTTCGATTTAGAGCCAGAAGGGACCGAAGAAGCCATTCTTTTTGTTGTTCTTTTGTTTTGTTTTGCTTTTTTTTTTTTAGTGAGGCAATTGGGGTTAAGTGACTTGCCCAGAGTCACACAGCTAGTGAGTGTTATGTGTTTGAGGCCAGATCTGAACGCAGGTACGCCTGACTTCAGGGCCAGTGCTCTATCCACTGTGCCACCTAGCTGCACCCCCAAGAAGCCATTCTGATCCCTTCATTTAAATAAGGAAACTATTATAGCCCAGTGAAGTGATTTGCCTAGGGTCATACAGCTAGTAAAAGCCAGCGATGGTGTTCCTCTTTGTAAGAGGCAAAATGCTAAGTCTAAACCATGTGGCTTTCTAGGTCCTTGGGTGCCACCTTTTCACTGAGTCCAAGTCTACAGAACAAATCCTTTTATTAAGGGGATTTGTTCTGTAAAGTATTTAGACACAATTACAATACAAATATACAATACAAAGCCACATTAAGCAGGGCTTGAAGTCACATAAATAAAGAAATGCTAAGATGTATATCACTTCAGTAGAAGAAATAAGGAAGATTGGGGAAGTGTGGGGCCATGGATATAGGCTTTTTAGGCAAATCTAAAAGGCAGTGGTAGGTTCCCTCCAGGAAAGAAGGAATGGTCTTCTCTTTCACCCTTTTGTTCCCACTTCAAGGTTTTTGACTTCCAGAATCTGAGCGCTGGCCTGAATAGCCTCACCAAAATCTTCCAGATGGATAGTTAAAACACAACCTTAAAGGCTCTCCTCCAAGCAATTGTCTTTTATGAATATGTAGCAGGATCTTTCTATTACTTCTAGTTATATTACCTGGATTTGGGGGTTCAGAGCTACTCAGATTAGTGCTCCAAGCCCTTATTTCTTCCTCGTGACCAGTTAGTAATTAGTAACATCTTTTTACATCCTATGCTTTTGCCCAACATGGAAGCTGACTCCCAGACTCCTGTTATACCCAAACTCCCTGACTCTCAGACTCCTGGAGACTTGCTCTCCTGACCTTTCAAAATCCTCAAGGTCAGAGCCTCCAGATTAATCTCTTTCAGCTAAAACAGAAGAAAAAAAGTTAAGGTAAAAGATCAAGACCATTTTCAAGGGGCCAAATCAACTGGCCCCTTACAGCATTATCTCTCATTGAATGCCATCAGGGAAGAAGTCAAACCAGGAACAGACCCCCAGGTAAGCTGGTAGCAGAGTCCTACAAATACCCCTCTATATGCCTCTACAGTCATTTAAAGAATTTCCCATTCGCCAGATAGTTGGCCTCTCCCACGTCTTGTCTGTACAGATTTCTAAATCTCCCCTGCCTCTTTTGTATCAGAACTTCTACATATTCTATACTTCCAACAATCTGATTACATGGTGGAAAAGGAAGCAAAGTAGATGACAAGGAATTTAAATTGTGTTATCAGGCACTCAATTGCCTACTTCCAGGGAATGTAGGCTAGAAGGTCCTCTCAGCTTTTGCTTTTTAGCCCTGCACCATAAGCTAGTATAATGGGGGGAAAACTGCCCATTCCCCATGTTGATATATTGAATATGGTAGGTTAGGTGTTAGGGGCAGAGCAGCAACATGGCACTAGATTTCTCATAATAGGAACAAGATTAATAGGAAATTCTAGGGCTTCACCATGATCAATGAGGTCTGAGTCAGAAGCCCAGCTGCTCCTTGGAAACTGTTGAGGTCTAGGGATGCTGGGAATCTGAAATTCAAAGACAGACAATGCAAGTCCTGCCCGGAACGAATTTGACCCAAGCATTCTTTTCAGCCAGAGACAAGGTTTATTAAAACACTGGTTGGGGTGGGCGAGATTTTAAGAATCCAAGCTATTGGCCAGACTTTAAGAATCTGAGCCTTTGTAATGAGAATACAACCGGGCCAGATTCTTAAGGAATCTGAGCGATTTAATGGGGGAAAGATGGACTCATATACAGTGTTCAAGGAGTGACCAATAGCTTGGGTGACTGGGAAGTAACAGAGAAGGACACGGAAGGGCCAGATGCCCCAGGCGAACGCCAGGGACCTGGGCCACATGGGAAAAGTCTAGGGCCTTTTAGGGATCCATCATTGGCGTCCCATCAGAACCAGATGTTCAGAGTACTCATCATGGGTTACTTTGATTTCTCCTATAGGGTTCTCCAGTACTCCTTTCAAAAACCTCCTGCCTCAAAGATGTCCCCAAACTGCATACCCAAACACAGCTTCCTGCAATAAGTAGCTTAGGATCACTCTCCCAATAAGTGTAATTCTCCCTGGTTCCAAAGCATTATGGCAGGGGCAGCTAGGTGATGAAGTAGATAAGAGCACTGGCCCTGGAGTCAGAAGGACCCAAGTTCAAATCTGGCCTCAGACACTTGACACTAGCTGTGTGACCCTGGGCAAGTCACTTAACTCCAATTGTCTCAGGCATTATGGCAATATGGCACAAAGCAGTCTACATTTATTTAGGTACTTTTTTTGTGCCAGGCACTGTGAAGAGCTAGAGATACAAATATAAGCAAAAAGGAAGACAGTCTCTGTTCTCAAGAAGCTTACTTTCGAATGGGGGAAGACAACACACAAAAGGGAACTGAAAAGCAGGAGAAAAGGGCAGGATACCTGAGCAGGGAAATAGTGTGAAAATCCAAAAAAAGTCAAAATCAGAGTGAAGAGGGAAGTGAAGGTGGCTATTCTGAGTCCATTCCCAAAAGAAGCCTCAGCAGGAACTCCCCAGTGGGAAAAGGGGGCTTGGCATGATGAGGAGAGGTGAGATGGCAACTGAAACACGGTGGCCAAATCAAGAAAGTCAGAAGCAGAGCTGAAGGGGGGGAAGTATGGGGGAGAAGCTCCTTATACATAATATCATATACTATCATAAATAACTGCAACCCCAAAGATAACTCTGTACAAGGACCTTCTGAATTTAAATCTTGATTAAATTTGATTTAAAATTTTAAATACTGAGAAAAACAAAACCCCCAAAACAGGGAGACACTCTACATTGAGTATAAGTTGACAATGTATTCTCTAAAGATGGTGAGGTCTTCTGGATGACATTAGGCCAATTTGTATCTAACCTCCAAATAATACCATTGCCACTCTCTTACGAAATCAGGGGCTACAATGAGATAGGCACCATAGGCCACAGTTCTTGAGCTGAATTGTTGGGACCTTAGAGATCTAGCTTTTTCTTTTTTTGTTTTTAAACCAAACCTGTGGTTTCATCTTCTGGGGAGCTCCTAGTTAAGGGACACCAATACAAACAAGCATCTTCTCTGAAATTTTTCGCTGAGAAACTGACTTACCCAGTCTCACACAGCCAGTACATGTCAATGGCAAGATTTGAACCCAGGTCCTCCTGACTTTGTATTATATTATGTTGTCCTCTCCCAGACCATTTTATAGATGAGAAAATTGAGGCCCACAGAAAAATTAATTGTTTAGGGTCCTATGAATAGTAAGTAGCATAGCTAGACTTGAAGGACTAGAAGGAAGCCAAGGAAACCAGGAGGTGAGTAAGGAAAGAGCTTTCCTGGCCTAGAAGAGACAAAACGTCCAGAGTCCTGACACAATGTCTTGTTCATGGAACAGAAAGTGTCACTAGAATAGTGTCACCAGAACAAAGAGTCCACACATTGGGGGATAGGAAGACTAGCGAGGTTGGAGGGTAGTAGGTTATGAAGGGCTTTGTACACCAAAGAACTTTGTAGTTGATCCTGGTTTGGGGTTGAGGGGAGAGTGATACCCTACAATTTAGGAAAATCACTTTAACATCTGAATGGAGGATAGACTAAAGTGGAGAAAGATCTGAGGCAGGCAGACCCACAAGAGGTTATTGCAAAAGTCCAGGCATGAGGAGATGAAGGGCTGTACCTAGAGTGCTAGGCCTAAAGTCAGGAAGAGCTGAGTTCAGGTCCAACCTCAGAAAATAGCTGTGTGACCCTGGGAAAGTCGCTTAACCTCTATTTTGCCTGTTTTCTCATTTGTAAAATTGGGATAATAGCACTTACCTCCTAGGACTGTTGTGTGGATCAACTGAGAAAATGGTAAAGCACCTGGCACACAGTAAACACCATGTAAATGTTAGCTAGTTATTATTATTTTTCTCACTACTACTAGAGAAGGGAAGCATATTTAAGAGATATTGCAAAGGTGAAATTGACAGATCTTGGCAACAAATTGAATATGGAGGCAATGGGGGATACAGAGTGTTAAGGAACACACCTGGGTTGTGAGCCAAGGGGACTTGAAGCATGGTAGCACCTTCAACTTTAATAGCAAATTTTGGAGGGGGGTAGGCTTTAGGAGAAAAGTTAATGAGTTCAGTTCACATCCAAAGTGAGATGTCTGAAATTGGGTTAGGGCTGGATAAGACAAGACTCGCCAGCATAGGGATGATAATTGAATCCATGGGAACTGGTAAGATCAATGGAAGTAGTATGGGGGGGAAGAGGGCCTCGGATAGAGTCCTATGGGGCACCCACTGTTGGTGGGCATAGCAAAGGAGACTAAGAAGCAGCAGTCAGATAGGTAGAACCAGAAGAGAGCGGTATACCAAAAACTAGAGGGAAGAGTATCAAGGAAGAGAGGCTGATCGACGGTGTGGACAGAGGTCAAGAATGAGGTTTGAGTAAAGGCCATTGGCTCTAGTGATTGAGTCAGCTTAAATCCTTGTCTACTAGAGATACTTTTAATCTATAATTGCTTTTTGAATAGTGGAATGAAATTATCCTTTTTTTTTTCCCCTGCCTTTGGCCTGGAGTCCCATACCACATAAGGTATGCATCGCAGGGAGCTTAAATAATTCCAGGAAGCAATTGTTCGTATTATTTCAATTGGGAAGACTAAGGAGTCTATTATTTAAGAGTCCTGAGGATATGGTGGAAAAAGTACTGAACTTGAAATCATAACATGTTAACTCAGGTTTAAATCCTCATAGCATTCTTATTTGGCCCTTGATGAGTCATTTAACCTTTCTGGGACCCAGTTCCATTATCTGTAAAATGGAAATGTTGCTAATTTCTAATTAGCAAATGCCAGGTTATGCCTCTTCCTTTTGGCCAAATGCCTTCTTGGTATCCTTTAAATCACACCATGAAACCTGCTACCTAGTCTTCCGAGTCATAAGGATGATCCTAACCCCGGCTGTTCTTGATAATCCTTGTCCACAGATTGTCCAGCTAACAGCTTGTTTTGTTGTTTATGAAAAGCTGGGGACTTTGTGTGCATCAGTGTGAGCATGTATGCCTATCAGAAGGTGAAAAGTGAAGCATTCATTGGTGTTTTTATTTACTTCAGGTCCTCAGTAAAGTTACTGCTCAGGAAGGTTGGAGGAGTCAAGATGGTCACCATGAAGTCAAAAGGCTGCAAGCTCTTCCTGTCTTTGAGCACCGCTATTCTTATCACTGCAGTGATCTCCCTTCTGCTCTATGCCCTGATCTGGAAGTCGGGCAACCTCGTTGACCTACCCACCATGAAAATTGGCTTCTACAACTTCTGCCTGTGGAATGAGAGCACCCATTCTCTCCTGTGTCATCAATTTCCTGAGCTGGAAGAGATGAGGGTGTCCCGGGTTGGAATTGCCCTGGCTAGGTTAGGTGTCTATGGGGCTCTTGTCCTTGCACTTTTTGCCTTCCTGCCACTCCTACTGGCCTGGTGCTACGATAATGAGGACAAGTGGAATCTGACAGTGGTGCTCCTGGGGGCTTCAGCAGGGCTGCTGCTTGGCGGACTTTTGCTCTTCCTCTTCTACACCTCTCAGTGGATCAAACCCTCGAAGCTGGGTGCTGAGTTTCTAGCCCTGGTTGGGGCAGAAGTCATGCTACTGCTTCTGCTTCTTATCATTGTCAAGTACCCCCTTGCTTATGAGAGACACAGCGTTGAGCCCCAGGGAACAAAGACCTACATCTACAGAGAGGGCAGCCCTATATCTATGGCCTTACTTGGAATAGATATAAACCCACAAAAGTTTTCCAAGGATCACTGGGAGTCTGTGAGAGACATCCCTGTCCATTTGCCCTCTTCCCCTAAGGAAAGCCGGGGAGGGTAAAACTCGATTAACTCTTCTCCATATCTATCTCTTGGGTCTTTTTTTTTTCCTTCTACCGTAGAAAAATAGATGTGGGAAGACCTTTTTTTTGTTGAGTCATTTTTCAGTCATGTCTGACTCTTCGTGGCACCATTTGGGGTTCTCTTCGCAAAGATACTGGAGTGTCTGGCCATTTCCTTCTCCGGCTCATTTGAGAGATGAGGAAACCCAAGCATACAGGGCTAAGTGATTTGTCCAGGGTCACATAGCTAATAAGCGTCTGAGGACAGATTGGAGCTGGGAAAGTCTTCCTGATTCCCGGCCCAGTGCTCTATCCACTGGGCCACCTAGCTGCCCCAAGGAATACTTTAGATCCTATAAAATTCTGCTCTGAAAGAGTTGCAATATGGCAGCAAGAAGTCAGGGAAAGCATTCAGACCTTGCAGTATGGCATAAAGAAGACAGGCAAGGAACTTGAAGGGCAAATCACATTACTTTTAGGGATGAAAGAAAAAAGTAAACAGCTTGCCATGATCCTTGACTACATGTTGAGAATAAGGGCATATTTACCTACCTACTGCTCCAATCAGAGATGATCCCATTTCTCTCAGTGGAGAGGATACAAGCATGATAGCCTATACATTAGTGTTGCATTCTGTACTTTATTAAGTATCATTCACCTGGCTTTTAAAGCCTGTGGGTAAGTGGGCTATTCATTTTGCATAAGGATAACATGGAATGATCTCTTGTGCTGCCTCCTGCAGATTTCCTTTTCATTTAATCCTGTGCTTCCCCTATTACACGTTCCTGGTGTGTGGGAACCCAGAGATCCCCAGGGTTCCAATGGTGATATGCCAAAGAACAAGGACTACCTAACTAGACTCCTCACATGGTGCAGCAATGAGGACACCAACAGAATGGATGGAGTTCATTCTACCTCTCCTGTAGAAATTGGGTTTCTCGAACTCCCAGGCACTGGCATTAAGAAGCTATAGATTTGTAGCCTTTTGTCACAAGTATAGAGACATTTCACTTTTTTTTCCTATCAAGGAAAATGGGTATTACGTATCTCTTTTAGGACAACTTCTACTCTCTATTCTGATTCCATCTTTACCAGGTGAATGTGTAAGTACAATTTCTGGTTCTCCTTTTGCCTCTCTGGTTGTTCCTTTAGTGTCTCCATCCCATCTCCCACAAGCTCCTCTTCCTCCTCCTGCTCTCTCACTATGGAGGATGTCTCCTAAGCTTGTGTTCCCAGCCCTGTGATTTTTTTTTCTCTTCTCTCCCTTGGAGAACACGTCTGCACATTTTCAACCAACACGTCTATAGAAAGATTCTTAAAACAACGGTTATTTCTTCCTCGGACTTGCAATAAAAGGTCACATTTTTATGGGTGAAGGCTTTGAAGGCACTTTCTTCTTTATTCTTTCTTTGAGAGACATCTTCTTTGCAGGGAGAGAGCAAAGACTTTGGGATGCAGCAGAAGCCACATGGAGGAGCCAGTACCTCAACCTAGGATTTCCCCTTGAATAAGACTGGGGTCTTTCTCTCGGTTGGGCTGAAATATCTGGTTCCTGGGGAGAGTTCAATTACTTTGTGGATTTCCTGGCATATTTTAACCTGTGTAACTTCTCCAGTTTCTATTTAGTCTTTGCTTGCTGTTCACGATTTGTGGTGGAGTGAAACTAGCATTTGGCAGGAAAGAGCCTATAGGCCTAAGCTTAGGGTACCCTTCTATTTTAAGAGATGGTGGTCAGGAAAGCATCTTGGAACTACAAGATGTGCCTCCCAGACCATCAATATTTAGGGGATCAGATAGATATAATTCTGTATATCTCATTTTGTGTATATGACTTGGAGATATTGCAAGTTTGGTTTAAGACCACCACAATAAAGCAAATATCACAATAAAGCAAGTCATATGAATTTTTTGGTTTCCCAGAAGTAGATGCAGAGACTAGCTCTGATAGGTTATATATATTTCCTTCTAGCCTGAATAATCAATTTCTCTACACATGTTGTTAAGACATCTGCTAGCCTTATGTAGGGAAAGGTGGACTCCATCAAGAGGTGTTAATCTGCCAGTCTAGTTGGGAATAGCATATGCTTATAGGGGCAATTATTTTCTAAGGAATATACACAGCAGGATACAGAACATTTTTTCTTAATCTAAAATTTTTAATAAGACTCATTAATTTCTACCTAATGTAAGAGGAAATCCTGTATACAGGCATACCCTAAAGATATTGCTAGTTCAGTTCCAGATCACCACAATAAAATGAGTCACAATTGTTTTTATTTCCCAGTGCATATAAAAGACTTTGGTTAAAAATACTAGGAGGGAGGCTTACACAGGCAGGGATATCCTCCCCATTTTTCAAATTTTCCCTGATGATAATGAGGAGGTTCCCCCACAGGGTAGGGATAGGTAGGTCTTTGCCTCCTTTTTCCACAAAGTCACCTCACTGTGCCACATTGCCATAAGCCATCTAACCTGGCCCCTTCCTCTCCTCTCATCCCACCTAAAGTAGCTGCTTTTATAGTTAAGGCCAAGCCATAAGCTCTGAGGCCAATAATAAAATATGGATGGTCCAGCATGTATATCTGTCTCCTTCTTCGTTGTCCATTATCAATTGCCTCTCTGGTACACATCAATTAGTCTTGCATGCCTTTGGTGCAAGTCAGTTTTTCCCACAATGTGATTACCCTCTGGATAAGCTGACCATGGAGTTTCCAGAACCACAGACCTGAGATGCTTAACACTGAAGTAAAGCTACACCATAATAACTGTGATGACTTTCCTGGCCACACACTTCACTGCTCACTACTACACCATCAATTCAATACCAGTTCGGACTGCCCTGATTTCACTACCCTGGGAAAACACTCTGGGACGCAGAGGTTTCACTCCAAGGGTGCAGCACTGCATTCCCTGCTGGTGAAACCTGGCAACTACAAACACGGAAGTATCCCAACATACTCAAAGCAAAACATTCTCTGAATTTTCATCTATCTTCTCAACTGAAAAATATTTCCCTCACATATTTTAATGCATCCTCATCTTCTGAGTTCTTGTGGCCAGAGGCTGAATACTCCTGCTTGCCTGAGGGACTTGTCCGAAGGGCATCATTCACCACCTCTTCTCCATTGCTACTGTTCTCAGAAGCCCAGGGGGATTCAGGCTGTGTGGTTTGGGCCTTATCAGTTCCCAGCAGCAATGTGTGTTCCAAAGGCTTTTCCTGTTTACGGCACTGAAGAGGGTGAAAAAAAAGATAACCATATTTTTACTGATATCCTAGTTTGTTTATATAGGACACAAAATTCCTGCAGATCTAGGGTAATTTCTGGGTCATGAGTCATTCCTTTCCCCTTCACTATCCTCCACTCCCCACCCCCCAACAGTCCCTCCCCAAACCCAATCCCAACCCCCACCATACACACCTCTGAATAGTTCTGGAGAGAAGCCAATACTAGAGAGGGGACAGAAGAGGGCTGGGGAAAAGACTTTGCTCAAGAAGTCAAGCTTCTAGCCCCAAAACAGAAGAAAAAGGGGAAAGTAGGAAGAAATAATTTCATTAGGCAGGTCCCTTCTTGAATGAGCAGAGCCAAAGAACTTCAAAGGAACTCAAGAAGGGAAGGGAACAGCAGCTAAGTGCCCACTGTAGGCCCATTAAGAAATCACACACATGCACAATGGTAGAATCCTTTTCCCACTCCTTTCCATCTACCTACACAAAAATAACGTAACTGTGACAAAGTCAATAGCTAGGCCATACAGATGCACACACAGACATCTATATTTTCCCTAGCCCATGTCTGTGTGAAGACACACAAACAGAGTGGGTAGAAGAAAGCATGGGTGAGGAGTCAGAAAGATTAGTGTGGCAACAGGCTGCATGAAACAACAGAGAGGCACTTGCCAAACCCTGGGAAAGTCACTTCACTTCTGTTTGGCGCAGTTTCCCCAACTATAAAATGGATCATAACAGTACCTACTTCCCAGGGTTGTTGTGAAGATGAAATAAGATAATATTTGTAAAGTGCTTAGCACAGTGCCTGGCACATAACAGGTACCTAATAAATGTTCTTTATCCCGATCCCCAACTAGACCACGTTGAGACAATCAGAAATGCTAATATCTATTTTTATTAACATTAAACATTAAAGACCTCAAATCTACCCTCAGGAGTTTTCTGTTCACAAAGATACAAATTGAGATCCGCTAGAATAAAAAGTCTTTACCTCAACCAAGACACCCAGGGCAATATCCACCAATTCAGCTTCATTCATGAAGTACACAGTTCGGTCAGAGGGAAGACTGAAAGGTAAAGAAACAAAGGCAAAGACAGATGCAAAGTGAGTCCCAGATGGATACACAAAAGGGAAACTGGAGCTGAGAATGGTGTATTCCCAGGCCTACCTGCCAAGAATGAGAGCATACACATCCTTCTGATCTGAACAGCCTGCTCTACATACGATAGTGGGAAACCACTGGTTAGCCCTTGCCTCTCCCTATAATATGCCCTTCACATAAGACAGACAGACAGACAGACACACACACACACACACACACACAAGATGGAAATCGCTCAAGCAACTAAAAATAACGCAACTAACTATGTGTCCTAGATGATACCTGGTTTGTCATCAGCATTCTCTATATTGTCTAATGATCACTGATTCTCTAAAAAGCACCAAGGGGAAGTCACCATATCTCATTTACCTTTACATCTTCACCAGGTCACACACTGTTTTTGTACATAGTATATGGTAATGAAATGTTTTCTGAATGAAGTGACCGAGGATTGGTAGAAGCCTAGAGAAGAGGATGAGAGAGATTTGAGATTGATGAGGGGGAGAGAGAGAGGTTGATTTGAGAGAGAAAGGTATGTGTGTGTGATAAGAATCAAAAAAGAGTTCAAAGTATTTAAAGGATGGCCAGATGGAAGAGGGATGCGACTTGTTCTGTCTGGCCCCAGGATAGGTAGGGAATGCAAAGAGATATATACAGCCTTGACAGGGAAACCTTCCTAACAATTAGAACGGTTCACAAGTGGAATGGGAGGTAGGGGGTTCCCTTTCAATCAAACCATCAATAAACACTTATTAAGTCCTTATGATGTGCCAAGAGCTGTACTAAGCATTGAGGATGCAAAGAAAGGAGCCCCTGCCCTCAAAGAGCTTGCTTTTTTAAAAATAAATTTTATTTTTTGGTATTCTGAATTTGACAAATACCAATAAACATAAGCATTTCCATATAGAAAGGACAGAAAAAAGAGATTTGCACTTGAAACTACAAATGTTCATTATGAATAGTTTGCTTTTTTGAAAAACTACATAATAAATTCAAGACATCATTTTCAAGTCTCTTGTTTGTCCAGGTATCCTAAATTTCCTTTTGTTCTCTACGATTACATTCTAATAGGGGAGAAAACATGCAGCCCTTCACTGTGAGTCTTCAAGAAAAGGCTTAACATTTCTTGGTATGTTGTAGTGGGAAATATTTTTTTTTTGGGGGGGGAGGTATAATTTGGGCCATGGAGATCTCTAAAATTTTGCAATCCTGTGAAAGAACCAGAACTCTGCTACTCATGAGGTTTTCCTGAATAGAATATAGGTGTCTCTGGAGGTTCCTTCCAACCCAAGAATGCTCCCCTTCTAGACAAAGGAGTACTGACAGACGAAGAAAGAGGAAGATCAAAAGAACTGCAAACTAAGAGAGTGCCCATCAACTGGGGAATGGCTGAACAAATTATGGTACATGAAAGTAACACTATTGTGCCATAAGAAATTACAAAACAGACAGTATCATTACAAATTTCCAGCAAATTATGTTGTTCCTCATGCCTCAGCTATGTAACAATCATGTTGCCCTCAACCCTATGATGTCACCTACCTTGTTCTGTATTTTTTTCTGTACTCCCCAAACCTATAAAAAAAAAATGCTGTCCTTTTGCTTGGGGTCTCTGGCTGGAAACCGAGGCAGACATTGACCTTATTCTCATGTTTCATGCCCTGTGAATAAAATGTTATCTTGCTCAGAGAAACATGCCTTAGTTTACCTTTTTGTTACATTTCACTCACAACTAGAAGGGCCCTAGACCACAGAGGTTTTGCTGCTGTGCAGCAGCTATCTGAAAAACTCACCTCGATGATGCATCTGCTGACTGCACTGTGGTTTTTATCCTCTTGGCTGGCCTCCATATTGGCACTAATTTCCTCTCAGATACTCGGGCTATCATCCATGGAGGAAGTTCCCTCTTTTTACTCTCAGGCTGTGCATTTGTCATCTTTCCAGACTCCCAGGCAGAGCACGCTGAGGACCCAGCCAGTGTCACAGGTGATGGTACTGCCCACTGGCCTTCCTGTTTCAAGGTAGCAAAAACCAACCACCTGTCAAAGTAACAAAAGTCAAATCTGTTTGTATTCTTAGCACAGTGCCTGACACGTAGAATAAATGCTTGTTGTCTTGACTAACACTGCTTCCAAGTAAAATAAGCACCATAAGAGAGAGATAAAGCAAAGTGACAAGAGAGTTCCAAGATCATCTTTGGCTGAGGGTATCAAGGATGGCTTCATGGGAAGAGATTTCATTTGGGCTTATGTTGCTATTGTTACAGTCCCACATCTGTGTGTAGGCTTCAAGTGTAAGATTCAGTGATCCCATCTGTTGGCTGGGACTTGGTTCCATCAATCATTCTTCTCTCTCTGTCTCTCTCTCTCCTGGTTCCTTCTAGTTTACCTAAACATATCCGTTTTATGTCTTTTAAAAAAAAAAGCCTAAAGGCACTAGATCTAGCCAAACTGGTCTATTGACTATTCTCAGAACACGACATTCTTTCCTCCACTCCTATGTTCATACTCTTCTTCCTAAAAAGACTATTAGCTGTTTGTGCCCCTACTAGACCTGTGGCTTTCTCTCCACCCTCCCAGCTAGCACGGGCACTGTAAATGTTCACTGAATTCAATCTCTTCTTGTAGATCTTTTAAGACCGAGGCCTGGTCTTACCTCCTTAGTGAAGTCCTAGCCTCCACAGCCCCAGCAAAATGCCTCAAACACAAAAGTTTGCTCAAAATTCTAACAATCCTAGCCCTCCACCTCCCAATTCCCTTCTTTTGCACTGTCCCTTACAAGCCTCGAAGGTTTCCCTGGCTTCCTTCAAGATTCAGTTCAACTCCTACTTTCTGTAGGCCCTTCCCCATCCCTGGTCCCTTGACACCCTGTCTTCCCCCTAACAACTTCCCTCTGAGATCACCTTCTACATACCTTGAATGTAAGGGCAGCTAAGTGGCACAGTGAATGGAGTGCTGGGCCTGCTGTCAGGAAAACCAGAGTTTAAATCCTGTCTCAGGCACTTTACTAGCTGTGTGACCTTGGTCAAGTCACTTAATCCTGTTTGCCTCAGTTCCTCATCGGTAAAATGAGCTGGAGGAAAATGGCAAACCCCTCCAGTATCTCTGGATACCCCAAATGGGGTAACAAAGAGTCAAGACTGATTGATTAAACAAGAAATATTTTATGTACAAGGTGATTTGCATATTTAATTAGAATATGGACAGGGCTGGTGTTTTTGCTTTTCTTTGTCTCCCTAGTGCTTAGCATAGTGCCCCCTGCACCCAGCAGGTGCTTAATAAATGTTTGCCAGCTGACTTCCTCTGAGGATATTCCTTTCACCTAATTCTTGTTCCATGTAACTGGCTGCACCACTGGGCAGGTGGTATACACGCAGCCTGACATGTCTATCTGCCTCATCTCCCCAACTAGATACAAGCTCCCTGAAATCACCTCTCTTATTCTCTTAGCATCCCATACAGACCTAACAGCACCCAACGCACAGCAGGTGCTGAAAGTGTGGGATTGACGGTATGGGCCCTGGGAAACCTCCCCCATAACTCTCCTAGTTTTCTCCCACGTGGTCAAGTCTTCCGCGTCTGCCTCAGGCATCATCCCAGTAATCCCCTAAACTAGCCCAGCCCTCCACTGTCTAATTACCTCCCCGTGGCCTCCTGCCACTTCCCACCCTAGCTCCTATCTAGACCCCATTCTCGACCTCCCAGTCACTCCCATCGAGAGCCTCCCTAGACCCTCCTGCAGTCACCCCAGGTGACTGGTCACTCCCAGACCCCCTCCTCCAGTCATGCCAAATTACCCGGCCCCTCCTAGATCCCTCCCACAGTCTTTCAGTATACGAGATCCATCTTGTCTCCCTTAAGATACTGAGATTCTTAACGTCTAGCCAGGGGCTGGGACTTGCCCAAGGGTCACAAATCCTTAGATTCCTTAAGGATCGGGCCAACATGGCGGATCTTTAATAAACCTCGTCTTTGGCTGAAAGAGGGCTTGGGTCGAATTCACCGGGGCCTGCAGGACCCGCGCGTCGCGATTTTAGGGTGCCAGCACCCCTAACCTCAGCAGGACAACGCCCCGCATCGCTTTCATCCACCCACTGCTCCGGTCCCTTAGGCCCCGGGTCTGCCGCCCCTCTGATGATCGATCAGGGACTTTGAAGGCATCTACCGGATATCCCCGTCGATGTTACAGAAGAGGAAGTCGGGGCTCGGCGCTGCAAGGCGGCCAACCCGAGGTCACGGGGGCCTCCGACCTGAAACCTCTCGCTTCCCCTCTACCTAGATAGAACCGCCTTCGTCTCGTCTGTCCCGGGAGCCCTTGAAGGGCCCTCGGAAGCCGTCCAGCCCACCACCCCCTCCTCATGGTTTGGGGGTCTCCTCTTCGGGCGGAGGAGGGCTAAGTGCCTCGCCGGGGTCACCCAGAGAGCCTCTGACCGGACGGCCAGCACGGACGGCAGCGCCTTTTACGCCTTTCAGGCCTTCTCCAGTGTCTTCCGCCCCTTCCCCGAGGCCGGGGCGGGCTCAGCCCGTGCCCTCCTCCGACACCTCCCCTCGCTCCTCGGGCTCGGGACCTCAGCCTGGCCGCAAGCTCCGCACCTGCTCTCTTTTACCGTTACGGGCTTAGGGGCCCTCGCCCGGATCCGCGCCTTCTCCCTCTCCAGGTTCTGGGTCCCGGCTCCGCCCCGAGGGGCAGGCGGCCGCCACTTCCGGACGCTGAGGACGGGGCGCCCCCTGCTGGCGAGCACGAGGCCGCGCGGCTTCCGCAGGCTCCCTCCCCCCCGCCCACCGCGCCGACTTCTGGGAGCCACGCCCACTCCCCCTCCCCAACTTTCTCACCAATGAAATGGGCGTGAAGGGGCGGGCCTTCCGCCTCGGCGGGGTTGGATTTAACTGGCCGGGCCTCGCTTCCAAATTAAAAGTCTGGAGTTGGAGGCGCTTGATGTGTCTCACCTTCACCCCACACCCGGGGTTTTAAACGCGTATAGACACCTATGGATCACTTGCCTTGGTTTCGTCAACTATAAAATGTGGATAATAACATCATCTACCTCCCAGGGTTGCTGTGAGGATCAAATGAGACCATACTTGTAAAGGCACAAAATGCTTAATCCCTTCTCTCCCCCCCGTTCCCCTTATTTCATACCATAGTTGCTTCTGTGAAGCCTTTGGAACTGTTTCTCTGGCCAAGGTATACTTCAGCCTGGTGAAAAACCTGAAATTTGTACAGTGGTTTGCCCTATGAAGTTTAAAACATGGTAACCAACAGGAGACTGGTGGGCCAGAAAGTAAGGCCATTGGCTTGCAATTCCAATGTCTAGAGCCCTTTGAAGAGCAGTTTGTATGCCTGGCTCCTTCCTTGTCTTTTGCATGTTTAAATTACAACCTGGAACTTTAAAAAAAGAGGTTGGGGAATCTGAGATATAAAATAATTTAATGGCTTTGAAACTGTCCTCACACATGGACAACACGATACCTGACATGCTAACAATAATCATGAAATCTCTGGTGGTTTGCTATTCATTTCACTAAAAGGCAGAGGTAGAAGACAGGGTATCCAGTGCTCATAATTTGCCTCTTATCCTCTCCCATTTTAGAGGGAAAATCAAGAAGAAACTATGAGACAAATTGATGATTAAATTTATAATTTAATAAAGTTTAGTAAAATTGTTGTTTGTTCTTCATTCTTGGAGAGGATCATGACATCAGGGAGGCGATGCCATGACTTGCAAGTGAACTGGATTTAGGTGAAGGAGGGCTGTGCAAAGTCACCAGCCTCACTCCTCCAGAGCCATCTGGGTCCAGTAGCAAGACATAAATCAGGGTGACTGTAAATTTGAACATTTTTCCACATAATTTCTCCATAGCATAGAGAATAGAAAAGAAAAAACTTTATAATTTTAAAGTGTGGCATGATTGGCAGAATGTTAGAAAATACTTTAAAGTTAGATTTTTGTAGGGCATTTTGTGGTTGAATTTTTAAGATTTCCTATGGTTTTTGCTTTTATTTTTAAAAATCCTTTTTGAGTAAAGGAATAAAAAACCCCTGAATTCTGATATTTATTTATTTATTTGTTCAGCCAATGTTAACTGAATACCTACTATGTTCAATTATTGGATGGTGGTAGTGGTAGAAAGGATATAAAAAGGAATAAGGTGGCAACCAACATTCTATTAGGAAAGGTAAGATTTATACAAATACATTTGGTATGTTAGTATTTTGTTAGTGTCATATAAGGGGTATTCGTAGTTCAGTTATGTTTGACTCTCTGACCCCGTTTGGGGTTTTCTTGGCACATACTGGAATGATTTGCCATTTCCTTTTCCAGCTCATTTGACATACGAGGAAACTAAGTGACTTGCCCAGCTTCACACAGCTAGTATGCATCTGAGGCTGGATATTAACTTTGGTTTTCCTGACGTCAGCCTCAGCCCCACCTAGCTGGCCCAAGGGGTATGAGCAGTGTTAAAGGATTTTAGAAGAGCGATTTCTGGTTGTAATGACTAGAGATTGTTTCAGGGAGGAGGTGAAATCTGAGCTGGGCAGAGTTGAGTGGGATTTTGATAGAATGGCTGGGTTGGGTAGAAATTACATGTAGTGGGAGCGGCATAAGTAAAGGCAGGAAGTAAGGCAGGAAAGTATGATGAGAATTTTGAGAACTGACTGGAACAGAAGCCTCATAAATAAGAATAGTAGGAGTCAAGTATAAGGTAAATTGAGTCCAAATCTTGGGATGATTTGAATACCATGCCAAGGAGTTTAGATCTTTATTTGGTAGGCAACATTTGGCAAACCACTGAAGGTTTCTGAGGGGAGTGACAGCCAAAAGAAAAGTACTTTTGAGAGTTTAAGGCTAAGTAGATTTGCAAGATGATTGTCTAGTGTTCGTGTGTGGCCTAGTACAGGGGTTGTGGCATGAAGTTTGCTGCACCCTACAGCAATTCTAACCAGTGATCCCAATGTGTGAGCACTATGACTATGGGACAGATACCTCTGCCCCTCCCCCAAGCACTACCCTTTTCCTTGTCACTTTCCTAAGCTCGTTTCAATGTCACATAGCTAGTAAGAGTCTGAGGTCAAATTTGAACTCGGACATTGTACCTCTAAGCCCAGCGCTCTATCCACTGCACCACCTAGCTGCTTTCTAATTCCTGATGAAATAGAATAGTACTTCAAGGAACAGAAGCAATTCTTAACATTTGTGCATATAGATGGGACTAACTTTGTGTTTACTAAATAAAACATTTTTGTTTCTCATTGAACCAGAACACAAAACACAAAACAAAGTGAGGTAAAGAATTTCAATACACTTACCTGGAAGCTGCCATCCTTCAGTGTGCTATGAAGCCACTGGTAAGTATCAGCCACATAATTCAAGAAACTCAATTTGTTTATTAACGTTTTACTATGTGCAAGGCACTGAGATACAAATGTGAAAAACAATGCAGCCCTTGCTCACAAGGAGCTTACAAATTTAATAAGGGAGGAGTGAGGAGGGAGATAAGGTAAGTACACTAGTGACTATAATACAAGGCAAAATTGTGAAGTGCAAAAAGAGGTCCTCCCACCACAAAAAAAAAAAGTGCCATGAGATATTTGAGGGAAGCTAGTGGGGGAATCCAAAAGGAAAGCTTCACGAGGCAGATTCTTGAAGAGAGGGTGGAGACAGGAGAGTGAAGAACAAGAATGGGAAACGAGCAGTTCAGTTGCCTGGAAAAGGTGGCTTTTAAAGTCAGATTGTAGAGAATTCTGAATGCCAGTGTTAAGGAGTATATATTTTATTAAGTAGGTAATAGGAAGTCACAAAGGGGTTAGGGCAGAGCAGTGAGCCCCATTAAGACAACGTGAACCAGCAGTGTGTAGTGTAGATTGGAAAAGGGAGAAACTATAGGTAGGAAGTCCAAATATAATGTTATAGACCAGGAAGGTGATAGATGAGAGTGTGAACCAAGATGCTTACACACTGGGTGTGATAGGAGGGCTTAACCTAAAGCAGAGCTGTAGAATGGAAATGCATGACCCTCTTCTTCTCAAGATGGCACATCCACTTGATTAGATGCATGAAGGATCCATGGTTTGTCAGTGGAACACCAATACACATTATAATAACTTGGTAGGTAAGGGTTAACAAGTGGCCTGAGACTTAGTTGACTCAACCTAGATCAAACAGATAATATTCACCAGAGGCAAGATTTCCTACAACTTCCCGACTCCAAAGCTAACACTCTACCCAGTATGCTGTTTTCTTAAACTAAGACAAATGGGATGTTTTTTTCAAATGGGAGGAGAAAGACTCAAGAGATACCATCAAGGTGAAATGAAAAGAAGTTGGCAAGTAGTTTAGATGTGGGAGGTCAAGAAGACGGGGAGGGTGGTGGTGGCATTAACAGAAATAGAGAAGAGTCATGGCTACCTTTTCAACAGAGTGGATGGGAAAAAAGAAAAAAATTACAGAAAGAAATATTTTCCCCTGATTTTCCTACACTTGGGGCAGGGAAAGGATCAGAGTATGTGAACTGGAGAGAAAATAATGACATATATGATGTGAACCTCTCCCTCAAGAAGAAGACAACAAAGTGTATTCTTAAGAGGGAAATAGTCAATAGTCCAGTAAATGAAATATCCCACTAATATCCTGTAAATAGAATCCGCCACTACGCTTTATATTCAAGCTTGCTAAAATGCAGGTTCAGTATTTCAGTTCTTTCACTTTTCCCTCATCCCCAAGCAGAACAAAACCTAGAAGCAACGAAACCTGAGGATACCTCCATCTAGAACTGCAGCCCCATAACTAAGTTAGAACCAACTCAATTTCTGACAGTGGAGAGACAGGGTGAATGAATGGTTATTAACTTGTGCTTATACCTTGTCTGCCTCAATAGTAGTCATCTTCTAGTTGATCCCTTTAATGAGCCAAAATCAACGGCAATACTAGGTAGAGGGTGGAAAGAGCTCTAGACTTGGGGTAAAGAAGACCTGAGTTCAAATTCAGCCTCAGACATTTACTAGCTATGTGACCCTATGCTAAGTTACTTAACCTCTCCTGGTCTCTTTCCTCATCTGTAAAACAAAGAGAACAACAGCACCTACCTTCACAGGGTCTTTGTAAGGACTGAATGAGAACACAGGTAAAGTGCTTTGCAAACCTTAAAGTTTTATAGGTGCTATTATTATCATTATTATTTCATCAGCTATCTATACAAGTTCCAGACCTACTGACTTCACTCCTCACTGCAACAGCTATGACAGACAACAGTACCAAAGGGCTATTTCCCCCTGCCCACAGGCTATGGAAGAGGAGAGAACTGTTTTCCACCTTAAGCATATGAAGGGACAAGGAGCCTGCCCAAGTAACACAGATTTCAAAGACACGCTTAATGCTTGTTAGTTGTTGAACTAACTAGTTAGTTATGGTACCAGCACCTAGGCAACAAGAAACCTGGCTTCTAGTCTGAGCTCTGCCACCAGATTTCACAACTTGGACAAATCACCATCTTTGTTTATTCCTTCAACTGCAAATGGGTAAAGATAGTAGTCTTCTATCTGCACACAGAAAATGGGGTGTTAGGAGAACCAAGACCCAAGTCCTAGTGCTATTCATCCTTATGAGCTAGAAATTATATGACAACCATCAAGAGGAATACATGGAGGGGCTAAGTGGAAACAGTCTGGGAAAACTGTTACCATGGTCTGCTAAAGATATTAAGCTGAAAGCAAAGGGTCTTAGCTCCCCCTTAGATCTGCTATACATCTCTTTCCCACCAGAGAGGAAACCACATCCCCTTAACAAAGTTTTCTGAGCAGAAAAATAAACCTTTCATCTAGGATATAATCCAGAGTAACTGGGATAGAGAACACATACATAGATAGGTGCTTGTGTGGAACGCGGACCAACTGAGTAAGAATTACAGATTGTAAGTTATATAAATAGCCTCGCCTCAACAATAAACCAAAACCTCAAACCTTTTTAGTCTGACAGATACTATGGAAAGCTCACTGTCTAAGTAACACACATACTTAAAGATCTGAGATTTCATCAGTGTATGAAATCCTCCCCTAATACAGACAGCCACCCATCCATAAACTAATAGACATGGTTTAGAGTTGCCTGAGGCTCAGAGTGACTTGCCCAGGATCACAGGGATAATAAACACCAAAGGCAGGACTGAACTACCATCTTGCTGATTTCAAAACCAGCACTATCCACTACACCATACTACCATGCTTCATCTTAATTCTTCTATCTGGGGAGGTAAAGTGACAGTTAAACTCCCAAGACAATGCTTCTGCTTTCTGAATAATATAAAAGGATCACAACAGAGTGTCACCTGAAAGAGAGTTACAGAAGCAGCTTCTTTCCCATTACCACTTCCATAGAAAGACATCACAGTGAGAACAATATTCTTTTAAGAAAGGGAGGAGAAAAGAAATGTGTAAATATACAGACATTTTACATAAAGTTGCATTATGCAAATGTGATTTTACATAAAGAATTATGAAAGAGATCCACATTCCAAAAAAACACCTATGTTAACTTGACCATACAGTACTATGCTGGCTCTCTCTTTCTGCTCCTGCTCCTTGGCTCTGAGCTCCAACCCCCCACCTCACCGCCCCCACCAAAACAAAGAAAGAAACAAATCCCAACCCTCCAAGTGAAAGAACAGACACACACACAAAGAGCACCACTGCCACACTTGGCTTGAGACTTCCAGCACCAAGACAGAAGATCTTTACCACACTCCAACCACTCCCCTCGTGCCTGTCTCTGGCTCCCACAAGTCACCTATCCTCTCCTGTTTGTGTTCCTGTCCAGACCCCACTTATCTGCCCCTCCCGAGTGTTCTTCCTCTTGGTTCCAGCAAGATTGTCATGTAGCTGGCCTCAGCCTGCACGTTTCTCCTCCTGCTCTCACTTCTCTGTCTCCGGCCCCCAGGTGTCCTTGCACTATGTGCTGGCCCCCCTCCTTCCACAAGCGCTTGGCCCCCTTCCTCCTCCTCTCCCTCCACCTTCCCCACAGCCATGGGCAAATTTTCATTATGTAAAAATCGATTTATGTAGAGATCTGTGGAAAGGTCCACTTACTTAAAAGCAAGAACTGTCTATACACAAAATACTGTCAAGGTCCACAGGATCCACCAGAAATCTGTCTCCTTGAGCCACCTGTCATGGCCCAGTGGGAGCCTGGGGCAACCTTAGAGTTTACTGAGTAACCAGAACCAACAGTTTTCTGCCCTCCTGTTCCCCAGGGTTGCCCCAACTAGCTGACAATTTATCGTAATAAATCTGCCAGTCTCTCTGTCTCCTCTTTCCCAGTCTGTGATCTCCATCTCAAGCTAATACTGATTCCATAAGCATGCTTTAATGCTTCCCTGGCTTAGTGCCCAGTCAGAATTTCTGGGCCAGCAGGGTTGTAAGCTTGATCTTGCCATCCATGGAAGCAGTAAGGCAAGTACCACAGTCCATGGCTGTGCACCAGTCTACTGTGACCACTGGGGCTCTGTGACCTCCAAGGCTCAGGCAGTTCTCCAGGACTTTCTCATCACTGCTCAACTGCAAAAGAAGACAAGAAAAAAGAGACAAATAAACAAGAGAATTCTGGAATGGAATGCCACCAGAAATGAAGAAACCCTTACAGAAAAGTTGGACAGCCCACTTTAAATTACCAAACCTTATGGAGATTGTGAGAAGGCATACTTAACATGAGCAAAGATATGCATGCCTAGATCTCCGAGTACTTAGCTTTGGCTGACTAAATAAGATACAAACTGTCACCTCCCTCCCCCCAACCATAAAGGATTATTGCTTATAGCTTAAATGGATTATCTTACAAAAACAGAAGTGTATCATGCTTTGCTAACATTTCAGGAAATAGTCATTTTAGCATCTGTCACATCACCAGAAGATTTCTATCCTGGTAAAAGACTGTTATATGTTTATAACCAGTAAGGCCCATGTTGTTAAGGAGCCTATACCAGGTTGATTTGTGAAAGTAACAATATCTTTCAGTTGCCTAGGACATTGTTTCCAAAATATTTTCCCAAATTACCTTCATTTTTTCCTTATTAACATTCCTTTGCCCAAGGTCAGGCAGCTGCTAGTTAGTGATGGACATTAACCCAAAGCCCTTTTCACTACATGATGCTGTCTCAACTTTGCAGGAGCGCACTGTTTCTTCTCTACAATCCCAGCAAATCAAAAGACATGGGCAGAATAGCTCCCATACAAAGAAGAACCCCAGAACTACCAAGCTTTGAGGCAGGAGGCAGAACTCAGAGGCATACTAGATGAGGCAGAAATCCAGATAAGGGGCAGGCATCCACCCACAAGATCACAAGGGGGGAGATCTGGAGCTGGAAGGTACTTTGAGGTCCTCAAGAGAAACACTCACAAGTTACTGCTCCAACCTTGTTACCTTATAGATGATGCCTCCTGTAGCAGAACAAGTCAGCATGTAATTTCCCTCAGAATCAAAAGCAAAGAGACGACCACGTGGAATTTGGACTTGCTTGTATCCACTGTAACCCGACAACACAAAGGGGCCTGTGGCATCCATGGGGAGGGAATATTCAGACACTTTCTGGCCACTCTTGTGGATGTTCCACTGAATAAACTGGAATTACAAAAGAACAAGAAGAAAGCTGCTGATTAAAAAGTAGCCTTAAAATGAAGCAGAACCAGGAAAGCAATCCACATGATGACTGACTATGACAACAAAAACCACCAAAACTGAATGGTGCCAAAGTATCATGACTAAGCTTGGTCCCAAAGAAGAGATATGAGAAAACACCTCCCCTGATTCCTCTAGAGAGGTAGGGGAAAATGAGTGGATCACTGCACGTGTCAGATATTTTCAATTACACTGGTTAGTTATGCTGACTTTTTTCCCCTTCCTCTTTTTTTTTATTCTTTATTAGAATCTGGAAAGGAGCTGGGGAAAGAGGAGGATATAGTGGGAAATACAGATTATGTAAAAAACAAAAAAATTTCAATTAAAGTTATTTAAATAAAGGCACCAGGAACAGAGATCATCAGAGCTGCCAGAAGTACCTCTGGTGTTATTCTAGCTTAATGGAAGCCCAATTTAGTAAGTCCATCTCCTTCCTAAAAACTTGGCCCTCAGAAGCAAAATAAGGCATATAAAAAATGTTTCAGGGACTTTGGCAGCTTATGGGAGAGAAACAATAGTAGAAAGAGAGTTACTTGAATCCCTTCACAGAACTATCATGTTATACGGCTAGCCTGCAGCCTCTCGATTCCTACCACCCACTCCCCTCCCTGCCACCTACAGTGATATGGACCACTTCCTACTGAAGAGAAGAGAAGCAAAAGAGAAAGGAAGCAAATGCTAACCCTTAGAATCCAAGAACCCACACCACTGAGGAGGGGAAATTCCTGACATTAAATAAAATTATATGGAGCCATGAATGTCATCACTTCCAATGCAGCTCAAGACAAGCAGATTTCACCTAAGGAATATTTTAAATTCCCACCCACTTACCCCACAATCCAACCTACCTTCCCATCTTCTCCAATGCTGTACACAGTGTTCTCATCATAGCTAAATTCCACAGAATAGACCTCCCCACTATGGGCTTTCCAACTCATGGCACACTCATGCTGCTGCATATCTGAGAAAACAAGTTACAGAATTGCCCCTTATATTAAATGGTCCCAAGCCACTATGCTTTTATAATTAACTGGTTATATTTTATAACTTTTTAGTTTGAATTCACTAGGTCATCCGTCACTCCAGAGAAGCTCCTTCCCAGTACAAAGTGTAAAAAACTAGACTCAGGATCCTACTCAATAGTTCTGCTCCACTGTGTGCTTCTTCATCAAAGAATGTTAAAATTACAAGAGACTCCAGAGGTCAGCAATCCCCTCATTTTGTAGGTCACAGTAATGTCAGAGCCAAGACTCAAACCCAAGACTTCTCACTCCAAGTTCAATGACCAAGTACTTTGTTATTAGTCAGCGATATTCTACTGCCCTTCCTGAATGGAAGAAGCTGGGAAACTCGTGTATCTAGAGGGAAGTGATGGCCCCCAAACAAAAGGGGGCCTTATGAAGCTATGAATAGGTGGGAGCCAAGGGTTGAGACATCTTCTTAGCTCAAAAAACTGGCAAAAATACAATTAAATAATGAGCCACCAAAGGTGGACCCATATCTTCCCCCTTGTACTTTGCTATTTTGCCTTATCTGCTTCTATACAGAACAAATTTACAGAGAGGAGATGAGAGCTAGTGAACCCCTCAAGCACAAGTGGGTAGAGTAGCACCGCTCTCAGCTTCAGGATCAAATGTATATCTCACTAAGTCACAGATCAGCTGACATCCAAGGCAATCCATGAGAAGCCCAAACGGAAGAAGCAATAACCTCATTACCTCTCAACTCCTCCCCTGACACTGATCACATGGATGTTAACCACGATTAAAAAAAAGCTTATCATGATAAACTACTTTGCACAGAGGCCAAAAAGCACCCAAGATTTTACTCCAGCCCCACAGATTCAGTTTTGGACCTAGAGTCCAAGTGGATGCTCTGAGACAATCAAGACATGAATCTCTCAAACAGAACTACTCACCAAAGAGCCTAATGGCACCATCAGCTGCCCCAGTGACCAGCAGGTTCCCATTGTGGTTGAAAGCAGTACAATTAATAGCAATGGGGTCTGGATCCAGGGAGAACTGGAGCTGTAAGAAAGAACTATTAGTGGGTGTCAGTTTGACCCTAGCAACTTACTTCTCTCCCAAGTACAACATCCAAGCTGCTGGGTAAGGCACTGCATGTGGCACGGTGCTCCCTCTCAGCACCAAAGATCACTGCACTGGCCAAACAATGTTCTGATAGTGAATTCTACTGCAACCAGTTTCTGTACTGTGACGACTATACCTTTACTAAGACTCTCAGACATTTCTTATAGAACATTCACAACAGATAATACAAAGGAACATAGATTTGGAGCCAGAAAAAGACCTTAGAAGGCATATAATCCAACCCCCTTATTTTACCATCGAGAAAACTATGGTCCTCAGAGGTTAAGTGACCTGCCTAACATATGCTATAAGCTGTAAGTAGCAGATTCAGGAATCAAACCAAGGTCCTCAGACTCCAAACCACTTGTGTCCTTTCTGAAATGAGCCAGTCCACGCTTTGGTGACGACAATGATGATGAAGATATCTCTACAAATAAGGCTCACAATATTCCAGGCTTATAATTAACAGTAACTCACACTGAGCTTTCAGACTTACAAAGTGTCTTTCATGTAATAACTGAGGTAGATGCTGAAGGAATAACATATCTAATTTACTTTCTGTGAGAACCTGTGATTTCCCTGATACCAGAAATTCCATCTACCAAAGCAAATCAGCAGCTCTTTTGCATTGATAGTCCTCTAGTGCTGCTGATGGCCCCAAGAAGTTAAACGACTCACCAACAGCCACACGGGCAGTAAGTGTCAGAGGTGGGTAACCAGCATTTTTTAAGTACTCACTCTGTGACTACCCACTTTCCCCTAGTGCTTAGCACAGGGGAAGGCTTAGCATAGAAAGAAAGGCACAAACAAGTCCCCTGCCCTCAAGGAGCTCATATTTGAATGGATGAGACAGCATGTAAATAATTAGTGCATACAAGCTATCTACAGAGTAATCTGAAAGAAGGCACTAGCAGCTGGGGAAGAGAAGAAAGAAATAGGAGGGAAAAGGAGGGGGAGAGAGATTCCCAACAGGGCTTAGGGTAAGAATATTGATAATTCATCTGCCACCTTTTGTCACAGCATGTCTCAGTATAGGCACTTCACAACTCACGAATATCTCACACATACTAACACCAACAATTTGTGATATTCTTGCCAGAGCAGAGAGGGAGTATGTTACCAGAACTCCTATATTTCCTCCTTACCACGTAGCACAAAACACGTTTTCTGAAGTGAACAACATTATAAATGTTTATAAGTTCCCAGATCAAGTCACAAAAGCCATTTAGTCCCAAAGATACCTGAAACACCCCACATCTGCAAGAATATTATTTTCTACTATTTTCCATTGCAAATTTCACTTTATTTATTTCAATTATAAGGTCTTTGTGCGCTGGCCTATGAACCTAAATGGTTTATAATGTTGCTTCTTCGAGAAAGTGTTTCCAAAGTTCCAAACTGGTTTACAAATGAACATCTGGAAAATCAGTAACTTTAAAGCTAGAGATTACTTGGTCATATTAATACTTCATTTATCTAGTGAAATCAAGAAAATGGGATGTGCCAAATGAGTAAATTTTCCAAATCCCTAAGTTTACCCTGCTGAAGCTCCAAAATTCTATGGGGAGACATCTCCCTCAAATGAACTGGCCCAACTTCATTTAACCTTTTTTTGATAAGTCAGTCACCATTATGAATATTAGTTATTGTAGTGGGGTTTCATACAATAAGTCTTCAAGGACCATTAAGTATAGGGATGCTTTTCCCTTTTTATTCTAAATGGCCCTAGACTCCTGTAATTTTATAGTTCATTTGTAGGCTTCTTATAATTCTCATATCTTCCAGCAAAATTCCCTTTCACTTCTTGCTGCTGCTAATTACCTCTATTTTAACTTACACACAACTCTACATCAGGTATCCTGTTTGTTTGTACTTCCAGGTTTGTGGCTGGCTTCTAAACAAGTGAAGTTACTGCCAAGTCTAACCTTAAGATATACTTTAATATTGACTCACATTCTCACCCCACAGAATTCTTTCGCCGTTTAGGAACATAACAAATACTAAATCATTATGAAATCAGCTGTTTGTTCCCATTTGGGAACACAAGAACTCGCTCCTAAGTATGGTAACCTGCTAATTGTCATAAGGAGTGACACTGCCACTCCTGCTGCCACTGAAGCCAGCTAATTCCCCATCTGTGGCTCTGCCACAGCCAGAGACATTACTGAGAGGCTGACCTGAGCAGCTGAGATCCCCGGGGAAAGAGCCATGTATGTACCTGCTGCTTCATGGTTTTAGTGTCCCACAGCAGGAGCTTGCCAGGAACCTGGTTCATGCCTCTGATGCCACTGTCTAGTGCTGTGTAGTCCATCTGTGAAATGAGGCTAGGGGCTGCAGCTGAGCAGACGAAGGAGGTCCCACTGGGGCTACAGGCAAGTGACAGGATCCTACAATGAACAAGAAGCTCAGTCAGATTCCTCACAAACAAAAGATCTTCCAAAAAGAGGAGAAAATAATTCAAGGCACTACTATTCCAAATCTGACCACCATTAGTAAGAAAAAAATTGTTTAGGGAAATTGAAATAACAGGAACCATGATGGCAAAGACCATGCCACCTTCGAGGCTGCGAAAATGCCAGGCATGGTTTGATTTGCACTTTGAACTTTAAGAAAATATATTTCAAAGGGTTCAGAGATTGACAGAGACTCTAAAAGGGAAATCAATTTGAAATAGGTGGGAGACTTAAAAATGAATTCTGGTCAAAGAGTCACAAATGAGACTGATAAGGAAAAATGAAGGGCATCTAGAGAGAAGATCAATTTGGATGAGCTCCTTGCTCATCAATACTTACATTATAAAAGGGTATTTAAACAAGGGCAGGCATCTGAGAAATAAAAGAGTTGCAATGTCCTCTGAGAATAGCATCAGAAAGACTAAAAACCAATATGAGCTGAGGCTGGTAATAAATGATAAAGACAATTAAAAATATTTTTTAAAAAAGCCATTTTCAGTGGCAAGAGGAAGGTCAATGATGATGAGAGGCCAGGACAATAATGAACAATGAAAAGAACATAGGAAGAATGCCACTCCTGTTTTGCTTCACTTTTCAATATCAAAGAAAAGGATCTTCAGACTAGGAGAAGTAGAACAAAAATGGTTCACGGAATTGAAACCCCAAGATAGCAAGAGAGCTGCTAACTACTCTAAATAAGTTCAAATCACCTGACCAACATGACCTAATCTCAGGAAACTTGCAAATATGATTGCTAAATCACTGCTTTTGGTATTTGTTTTGGCAAACAGGAAAGGCACAGTAGGACTGGAGACACTAAAAAATGCCTCAATTTTCAAAAAGGGAAATAAAGTGGATTTTATAAGCTATAGGCAAACTAGCTTATTGAAGGGCTGGTTTGTGAGTTTTTATAAAAAGAGGTGAGTTACGGAGAGTAACAGGGTACTATTCAAAAAGATCTGAGTCACAAAAATGATCATACCTTTTGACTCAGCAATTTAACTGATCTTGATCCTAAAAAACTCATAAAAAGGTAAAAAGAGAACTAGTGACTCAGAAAAATTATTAACCAAATCATTTCTAATACAAGACAACTAGAAGTCCTTTTCACAGACAACATTTGGGTGAATGGCTAGAAAAGTTATAGTATAGTCATGTAATAGAATATTATGGTAATATTAAAAAAAAACTCATGATGAAATATTGAAAGATTTATAAAAAGTGATGCAATGCAAAATGACAACAACCTGAATTGTACATACATTGACTAAAACTATCTTTTCTTTAAAGATAAAGAAGCCCAAAAGTGGCAGAATTTCAGACAGACGTGTAAAGGGACATGGAGCAAATTCATTTTGTGTTTGTTAGTTGTTAACTCATTTGATTACATTTAATTAAATGCTAAGGATTTATGTAAGATTTTACTCCCTATTTTATATATGTATTCAATTGACTGTTGACTGTTATTAAAAGTTTAAAATAAAAGTTTTAAAAACTTTTAAGAAGAGGTGTTGATTACTAAACCAGAGTGGGTTTATTAAGACTCAGTTATTCCAAAATAACTTCTTTTCCATTTTCATAGTGTTACTAGATTAGTAGATTCTAGGAATGATGTAGACCTATCGCATCTGGATGTTAGCAAGGCACACAACAAAGTCTCTCACAGTATTCTTGTACATAAGATGTAGAAACAGATTAAACATTTTAGATGGGTAAGTGCAGAAATGACTTACTGACTGGACCCTGACAAGAGGTCTCTATGGAAGTGACCCCAAGAAGTGGTCTTTGGTTCTATTTCATTCAGATCGAGAAGCAGATGGCATAAATCACATGAAGTTGGGAGGAAAGGTAATAGAAACACAATTCAAAGGTAATAGAAACACAATTCAAAGGCTCTTGACAAGCTAGAATAGTAGGCTGAACTTAACAAATTTAAATTTAATAGGGATAAATAAAAAGTGCTGAGCTTCAGTTTAAGTTTAATAACCACAAGGACAGCAGAAAGAAGATACAGCTCAAAAGCAGTTCATGAGAAAAGAAGTCTAGGGATTTTAGTGGACTACAAGCTCAAAATGAGTCAGCAATGCAATGTGGCAACCAAGAAAGCTTGTTTCATCTTAGATTATATTAATAACAAAAGAATATCCAAAACAAGAGGGGCAAGAATCCCACTCTATTGTTCTTAAGCATTCTGTCTAATACCAGGGAGAACATTTCAGAAGTGATACAAATAAGCTGGAACACATCCAGGGAAGGGTAATTAAGAAAATACAGGGACCTGAAACCATGCCATAAATATCAGCAAAATGAACGATAGAGAAACTAATGGGTACAAATCACTAGAAGGAGATTTTCGTTACCTTAAAAGAAACTTCCTAACAATTAGAGTAGTCTGGAACTGGAATGGATTGCCTTTGGGGTTACATGAATTCCCAGTCATGGGCTATCTCCAAGTGGAAGCCAGAGAACCACCTGTGGAATGCTATACAAAGGGTGGAACTTGATAATCTTTGGGGTCCCTTCCAGTTTTGAGATTCTGTAATTCACCTGCTCCTAAGAAGGCCAGATCCTGGGATCTCAGATTAGGTGGAGAGGAATGGGAAATGATATCTATATTATGAAGACCTGATTCCCAAACTATTTCCTTAACGGTGAATAGAAGACAATGGCTATAAGTTTTGGTACATAAAGTTAACAGAGTATTATCGTGCTTTAAGAAATGATGAAAGAGTGGAGTGAACAGAACCAGGAGAACAATTTATACACTAACAACTAACATGTTAAAGATAAACAACTCTGAAAGAATTAAGAACTCTGCTACCCATCTCCCAATAGAAAAGAAGGTCTCAGGGTCCAGAATAATACCTCCTTTTTTGGATACAGCCAATGCAGAAATTTGTTTTGCTTGACTACATATATTTCTAATAGAAGTTTTGATTTTCCTTCACTATTGTGGGTGGCAGAAGGTGGGGGGACAGTGGAGGGGGGGAAGGGAAGCTGAAAAGGTAGATATTTTACTGATTAAAGAAATAAAATATAATTAAAACTAAAATTTTTAAAAGGATAAAAAGAAAGCTTCCACACCAACTAAAATATAGAGAAACATTAATAACAAAGAACTGGAAATAAAGTATATGCCCCTTTTTAGAGGATGGCCTAACAAGTTGTTATACTTAAATGTAATGGACTACTATAACATTACAAGAAACAGTGAATATGGATACAGGAAAATATGGCAAGACTTACATGAGCTGAAGCAAAACCAAGAAAACAATATAAACAATGACAACAATAATTTAATAAATGGAAAGCCAACAAAACAATCAAAGCTGGTTCTGTGAAGTTACAGTGACCAAGCTTGGCCCCAAAGAAAAGGTATAAGAAAGTATTTCCCACACACATAAAAGTTTTAAAAACTTTTAAGAAGAGGTGTTGATTACTAAACCAGAGTGGAGATAGGGGACTGAGGATGTGGAATACTACAAATGTTACTCTTTCAGCGTGCTGGTTAGGTTTACCAAACTGTTTTGTTCCTTTTTCATTCTTTGTTACAAAGGATGGATTTTCCTAAAAGGGTTGGATGCATTGGAAAATGTAATATAAAAACAAAATGTATGAATAAAATTAAAAAAAAATAATGAATAGGGGAAAGAAGGTCAAAAAGAGAAATACAGTACTACATACACCAAAATATAGCAGTATTTTTTGTGGCAGCAAAAAACTGGAAACAAAGCAACCACTTGGGCAGTGCATGAGTGTAACAGAATAAGATTTGGGGTGGCATGACCTTTAAATATATGAAGAGCTGTCATGTGGAAGAGAGATTAGACTCATACCACTTATTCAAAGAAGGTGGACCTAATGGGTACAAATTACTAGAAGGGGACTTTGGTTACCTTTTGGAAAAAATTCCTAACAATTAGAATTGTCCAGAACTAGAATGGATTGCATAGGAAAACATGGGAAAGACATCAACTGATGCAAAGTGAAATCAGTTGAACCAGAGTATCACCTACCCAGAGAGACAGAGACAGAGAAAGAGAGAGAAAGAGAAAGAAAGAGAGAGAGAGAGAGAGAGAGAGAGAGAGAGAGAGAGAGAGAGAGAGAGAGGGAGGGAGGCAGAGAGAGGAGGGAGGGAGGGAGGGAGAGAGAGAGGGGGGGAGAGAGAGAGAGAGAGAGAGAGAGAGAGAGAGAGAGAGAGAGAGAGAGAGAGAAGAGAGAGAGAGAGAGGGGAGAGAGGAGAGGGAGGAAGGGAGGGAGGAGGGAGGGGGAGAGAGAGAGAGAGAGAGAGAGAGAGAGAGAGAGAGGGAGGAAGGGAGGAAGGGAGGGAGGGAGAGAGAGAGAGAGAGAGAGAGAGAGAGAGAGAGAGAGAGACATGCTGAATGCAGTAATCATTAAATAGCAAGCTTGTTCTCAAAGAAGAGATCAGAAATGATGCTTCCTTTCCTTCACTGCAAATGTAGGGGACTTCCATTGTGGAACATTGCACATCCTATCAGATTGTTAACGTGTAGGTTAGTTCTGCTAAACTGCATCTTTTTTATTCTTTAACAAGAGATAAAGGTGGGGAGAGATATATTCAGAAATCAAGGTGATGGCAAAATAAATGAACATTTGTTTCTAAACGCATGTATGGGAGGGAGGCTGTTCTTTGCTCACCTAGGCATGTCATCATTGATACTGATCTCACAGAGATTCTTCTTGGCTTCGGTGTCGTAAAGACGCACAGTCCCTGCCCCACTGCCCAGTAAAAGCTGGTAAGGCAAAAGTGGAAGAAGAAAATGAAAAAGAACAAAGTCAATAACATTTGCTAAGTGTGTTACGGCCTTTCCTAGATCATGTATGGACCTCGGTGAAGGCTTCAAAGTGGCTTCTACACTAGCCCAACATTTCCATACAAGTGAAATATAGTTCAAATGTAAATAAAAGGTCAATCTAGCAAGGGACTAGAAGACAGAAGGCAATGTAGTCAAAGGATGTGTATATGGAAGGGCTATTGTTCAGTTGTGTCCAACTCTCTGTGACCCTGTGGACCATATCATGCCAATACTGTCCATGAAGTGTCCTTGTCAAGACCATTGGAGTGCTTTGCCAATTCCCTCTCCAGCGGAGTAAGGCAAACAGGGTAAGTGACTTGTCCAGGTCACACAGCTAGTTAAGTGTCTGAGGGCAGATCTGAACTCAGGTCTTCCTGACTCCAGGCCCAGCACTCTGTCTACCGAGGCACTCTGCTGCCTGTATGGAAGGGAGGAAGCCTTTCTATCCACCCACTTCTCTCCTGAATTTAAAGGATGCTTTGGCTCTTTTATTCATGGTTCAAATGGGTGGGCCTGTTGTCGTTGCTCAGTCCTTTTTCAGTTGTGTGCAGTTCTTAGTGACCCCACTTGGGGTTTTCTTGGCAGAGATACTGCAGTGGTTTGCCATTTCCTTCTCCAGCTCATTTTACAGATGAGGACACTGGGGGAAACAGGGTTAAGTGACTTGCCCAAGGTCACACAGGTAGTGCCTGAGGCCAGATTTGAACTCAGGAAGACTCGTCCTCCTGACTCCAGGCCTTGAGCTCTATCCACTGTGCCACCTAGCTGCCCACGGTTGGCCTATTGCTTCCCTAAGCCACTGTCTCACAATCTATTGATTCTGATACCATTAAGGGATCAAGGACCCCCAAAGCTGAGGGTCAGAAACCATTTCCCTAAATTGCTATAACCCAGGAAGACTCTTAATGCAGCATCCTAGGAGAAATAGCAAAGAAATAGGCATAGTCCCTCACTTCAAGAATACAAACTAGATAGTAGACACAACAATGAAAAATATTTTTAAAACAACATACAAGTTGATGGCTTAGGGCTGTCCCCTGATATCATTTTAAAACAACATAGGCCAAGTTTTGAGATTTAGAGGAAACAAAGGTTGAGAGGTGAAAGTTGTTTCCTATAATTTATAGCTACCTTGTTAAGTATTTTCAATGAATATTTTTGGCTACATGGTATGATCCTATCAAAAAGGAAAAAAAACAGAAAAGGTAATTCCATATTCACTGTTAAGAAAATCCTACAGCATGAACACAAGTTTCAAAATAAAGAGGAAACCAATGTCAACCTGATAGACAACTACAATTATGGGAACTGTAAAATGGGACTTTATGTAACACACCAATCTTTAGTTATTTTACTTAGTTTTAGCAATCAAAAGGGACCTGTTTAAAAGGCCTATTTCTGATGAATTGATGGAACAAGGAAAGAATAAAAAGGCTAGTGCAGAAAAGGAGGAAGTAAGACTCATACAACAGACACCAAAAGTAGCATACGGGAGGGCAAGGTTTTTGTTCTGTTTGAAGACCGGGCCTCCCCAATCTTGCCCAAAAGAGCTTCATCTCCCTGCTGATGGGCACAGAAGGTTGGCCTGCTCTGTTTCTGACTTTGGTCAGCTCACCCCTCCACAGGCAGTCTCGGGGTCCTCTACTCTTTTGAGCTCACTATACTGGTGCCAGACTTAGTGTAGATACCCAAATTGAACCTTACTGTATCTCAGAACTCCCACAACTAAACTCTGCTTGCCTCAGCCTTCCCAGCAGAAAGGTTTATAGGAGCTTGCTACCATGAGGACTGTCCTTAAAATTCCACCATGCTCCAATTACAAGTCCTACTGCCATAGGCCTTGGTATTATAGTCATACTGCCATTCATACATGCAACAGGAACACAACGGTGGCCAGGAAATTTTAGACACATGACACTTAAATCTCCCTTAGGGGAAAGAGAAGTAAAAGAATTTGTGACTTGGCTGTTTTTCATCATGGCCACAAAGTCTAGATCCTTAAAGGTGCAAAGATACTTTAAGAGCTCTATACAAAGGCTTTTGGAAATTAAAAAGGCTGCAAAAATGGTAACTCCGGTAATAAGGTTACTCACCAGCCTGTCCCGCTTAGTGGCCCATTCTAAAGAAAGAAGTGGTGACTTGGAAATAGAAGAAGCTTTGGTCTGCATGATAGGATTGAATGACCACACCTTGATGACTCCATCCACATCTAGGCTAGCAACCCTCCTCCCAGAGCAATCCACTCTAAAGAAGAAAAAGGATATATAAATATATAATTTTCAGTGTCCTCTTTCCTTAATCTTACAATTCTCCTTGACAAAGTTTAGATTATTTTCTATTTGCTAGGGTTAATACTGGAAGATTAAATTCAAAAATACCTAATCTAATTAATAATGTAGTATCTTAAATTATCTAAATTTAAGAATCCAGCCCAAAGAAAACCCTAAATTCTAAGAACCTAGGAATCCCTAAACCCTAACGAAATCTCTAATACACCCTAAGAAAACAAAAGTTTTGATCAATCACTCTGCCTACTTTCTCCCTAAGCTCTTATCACAACTGAAGAGAAGGTCTCAAAGAGAGGAAAATGACACTTGTAATCCTACTACAGCTGGGATTCATACTTTGGGAGAAGACTGGACCATATGACGACTACAGTTCCTTCTAACCCTACATTTCTATGATTCTCTATTAGATTAAGTAGGGTACAGCCAATCAAAATCAGAATCATGAGAATGGAAAGAGTCTCAAAAGACCATCAACTTAACTCCACCTCTTTGAAGGATGGGGCCTGAAGATTTCTGCATTCCTAGGCATCTATTTTTTTCTAAAATCTTGGGGATAATATCACAACTTCCCTCTAATAACTTCCCATCCTTACTGTCAGTCTTCGCTTCCTTCCCTGCAATGCCAGCTTCCACTAGCTACCGTGAAGGCAACAGATTGAAAATTCCAGCTAGGAAAGACTATCTCGACAGTGGGCTGGTTTTCCATCACTGCCACCTCTATGCTGTGCCGAACCAAGTTGCTCACCTGCAATGCATGATGGAAGAGTGATGTTCTCCATACTCCTCCTGGCTCAATACAATGAAAGGCTGCTCAGGTTGGAAGCCACTCCCTTCTATGCCAGCTCCAGAAGCTCTGGTAATCAGGTCTGCTTGTTCAATATGGAGCTCTGGGGAAGGCTCGGTCTCTGGGCCACTAACTTCTGTTTTCTTCTCTGGACCCTGTCTCAAGCAAATGAAATGAGTAAGATATAGAGGAGATCTACAATCTATTTTCTTTTCTTTTACCTTAATAGCATTTTTTTCCAATTACATACTGAAATAGTTTTCAACATTCATTTTTGTAAAATTTTAAGTTCAAAATTTTTCTCCCTCTCTCCTTCCCCTTTCCCTAAGACAGCAAGCAATCTGATATAGGTTATACAGGTACAATCATGTTAAACATATTTCCACATTAGTCATCTTGTCTATATTCTGTTTCCAACTCTTCTATTTGTAATTCTTCACAACCTGGCCCCTATCTACCTTTCCAGCCTTACTGCACACTGCTTTATACACTCTACAGTCAAGTCAAACTGGCTGTGATAAACTTCCAGTCTCCTTTGAAAATTCAAAAACTCTTTTCAGAGCTACCTTAATTGAGGTGTAAAAAAATACCCCAGATAGAGGATGGTACTTACAGACAAATCTACCACCAACCGCTCAAGCGGTATCTTTAAAGAAACTTCAGGTAGAGTTGAGTTCAAGGTTTGGCTTCTAAGACTGTCCCCACCTCCTTCAGGCCTGGGGTCACTTCTTTACTCAGGACGATGTGCAGTTTTGGGCAAGCCTCTCCATGGTTGGTGACATGGATCCACTTCCCCATTTCAATTATTCTCCCTTACCCAACTGTGATGTATCACTGTAGCATTAAGTGCAACAGAACACCATTTGCCCTCTCCTCAACTGTTTGTCAAACATACAGATCCCTGTCCTTACACTTCTTCACATTCATCAAAGATCTAAAAGTTTTTGTTGCTGATGAGAGCAGACCATACACATAATAGGTGTAGCTGCTAGAGTCCTTATAACCCAACTAAGTGTAGTGACAGTACAGGACTCCTTCCTAAGTTCTGTACATATGGTCCCGTACAGAAATATTACATATGACAGCTGGCAATCATAACCATTACATGATATGCTAGCATGGAAAAGAGCCAAGCCAAAAAAAGGAGGGGAAGGGACGGAGAGGAAAGAGGACACAAAAAATGCTCTCTAATGACCTGTCAAAATTCAGTTTAAATTAATTAAGCAACAACAATCCCTCACAAACAAAATGAAGTAAAAAAAAACATCAAATATTTCTACATGACTAAGAAATAAGAATAGGCTTAACAAATAAAATCTTAGCTACAAGGAAAACTTCTCTGTCAATGTTCTGGGATAACCTACAGTTGTTAAGGGAATATACAGAAGACCAGCTGTTGGTTCTTATGTAGTGGAGGGCCATACCTGGAAAGCTGATTTGGATAACAGCTCTTTTCTTTCCTTGCCATGATCCTGCAGGCGCTTCTGCCGATGATGGGCCAGGCCAGGCTCTCCAGTTGATAAGCCACTGAAGAAGTTCTTTCCATCTCTGACTCCTGTTGTGATTTCTTTTCCTTTAAGGATCTAGAAGACAAGAATCATAACAATGGAAATTCAATTTCAGTCTATGCCCAGGCCACAGATGGCTGGGAGAACAGAAAGAAGAGCTACAACATGGGTCATCAATGCCTTATCGTCAGCTCTCATTTAGTATTTCTGTCTATTTTTTTCAGAAAGTTTAAATTTCATTGTTCCAGCCAAGCAGAAGCCCAGTGGTTCCACAAGTAAATCAGGGAATCTGGGTTTTCAAGCTTCCATTTAGACTTCTAACAGTAATTACATATGATGAAAACAGTATCATCACTTCTCTCCTTAGTTTTCAAGATCTACAAATTGGGAATAATGACATCTATTAATATTTAGAAGATGCTAAGATAATAAAAACTTTTTTTTAAAGCCCCCACAAAAGCCTTTTTAAAATGTAAAAGTGTCACAGCACTCTCCATGGTCTTAGATAAGTGTATATGACTGGGCAAGATGGCAGTGGAAACTGTGGCATTTAAAAATGATTATTATGATAGCTAGAATGTTTAAAAGAAATTCTAGGATAAGTAAGGGATTCTAGTCAGTTCAAGATTTGGAAGGAAAAAATTCTGCTATGGCAAACAGGAAATATGCTACTTTCCTTACGTACATGTCTAAGACAAAGAATCTGCAAACACTCAAATTCGCTAATTGCTACCCATTTGTTCTATTTATTTGGGAAGAGAATCAAAAGAAATAAAAAATATTTCTCTAAAGACACCAAGACAACATGGTAAATTTGAAAAAGCAATGCTTTATGAGAGGGAGGGTACCTGAGGATCTGGATCTGGGACTTATGGTTGGCCAAATTACTTAATCTTTCTGGACCCATGGTTACTCCTTTGTAAAATAAGATGATTATAGATCATCTTTAATATCCTTCCCAGCTCTAAATTCTACGAATCTAAATAATGGGGAAGAAACATACGTGGTACTTTCAATTATTTTTCCAATGATTATTGTGACTTTAGAAGAAAAGAAGTTTTGCTATTCTATATGACAAAGCAGTGGTCATCCAAACCATTTGGTACTGATTAAAAGAGAAGTAGATCAATGGAATAGACTAGACAAAGGAGAATCAGAAGTAATGAAACTCAATAAACCAAGGTCTGATAAACCCCAATCCATGACTTACTTAAATCACACTCCAGCTCTCAGCTCTAGACATTCTCTCTGGCTAGCGCTCCATGCCTGGAACTGTGGAGACTGAATGCAGATCAAAGCATACTCTTTTCTCTTTTTCCTCTTTCTTATGGCTTTTCCCCTTTGTTCTGATTCTTCTTTCACAACATGACTAATGTGGAAATATATTTGATATGATTGTATATGATATAGGTTATGGCCTATGTCAGATTGCATGCCATCTTGGGGAGGGGAAAAAATTTGGAACTCAAAATCTTATAAAAGTGAATGCTGAAAACTAAAGAAATTTTTTAAAAAATTTTTTAAAAAGGACTGGAATACCAATTCAGAGACTGAATGAAACAGGTGGCAGAGGTAACATATGAGAGATAACATTCAGAAAAAAAAAACAACCAACAGAACTAACTGGATGGAGGAAAAGAGAAAGAAAAGAGCAGTCAGGAAGAGAAACTAATGTGGGGGAGATAAATCTAGTTTTCACATTCTGTGTAGGGAGGGATCGGGGTAAGGAGAAGGAGAGACAAAAAGTCATATGCACACATATATGTATGTGTATTATACACACAATATAGTATTGTACATGTGCATGTGTATACATACATGCATGTTATATGTGCATGTGTGTTATACCATGTGCATGCACACACTTATATACAGACTGGGTGTGGCTGGAGGTGTGCAGGTATAAGAGTGGGTGGTATAGGTATGGGCTAAGGTATATAAGTTCCAGGCCTGCATTTCCAGGCCTTCAACTGGAATTATTCTCCTGACATCTCAAACTATGCATGTCCAAAACCAAATTCATCTCCCCAAAGCCAGCTTCTCCTCCTGATTTCTCTAATTCTGTTTCTGACGCACCCAGGGTTTGAAGCCACAGTGTTAACTTGGGACTTTGTTAAACCAATGATGTTTGGGAGCTGAGTACAGAGGCAAACTTACCAAGGGAGATACTATCGAAAGAGAGAAAAGGCAAAGGACAGAATTTTAAGAAAATAACATTTCGGTGTCAAGAAAGGAGACAGAAAAAGCTACCAAAGGAAGGAAGAGAAAACAGACAGTACAGTGAAGCCAAAGGGGCAAAGCTGCAAGGAGGAAGAGTTCACATCAGGGTCAATGAGGAGGAAAACACCACCTTTTTTATTAAATTGTTTGCAACTTCTCATTTCCATGGCATTTTTCATTCAAAATGGTCAAGGTACACTGTTCCAGTACTCACTGCTAACCACATCCCCTACACGTAGGGACAGCTAGGCAGAGCAATGGATAGAGCTCTGGGCCTAGAGTCAGACCTGAGTACAAATCCAGCCTCAGACACCTGCTAGCTGTGTGACCCTGGGCAAGTCACTTAATACTGTTTTCCTCTGCTTCCTTATCTGTAAATGAGGATAATAATAGCACCTTCCTTGTTGTGTGGGTCAAATGAAATAATAATTGTAAAGTGCTTCATACTTAGTAAGTATTAAATAAACATTAGTCAGGATAATGAAACAGCTGACTACTTTTCACCCCAATTTGCCAATAATGAACTAGAGCAAAATAGAAACCACCACGTAGTGGCCCTAGGAACAACAAGCCAAACACCCTAGGAACACGGCCCCACCCAAGACACTCCACTGACTTTAAGCGGTGCTTGTGATTACCTGACTCTGAGAGCAATGCAGAGCAATCCCACTCAACCAATACGGTGTGACAGTTTAAGAGACACTTATCTAAATAAATTCTATCAACTTTCACTACAGCAGGTACTATCTCCTTGGGGGAAAAAAAATCTCAGTAGGGCATTCTGATCATTAGACGACAGTTGGCACAGAAGCAAGTACCTTGCAAACTTCCAGGGGATTTCAAAAGGTGAAAATCCTTTATCGAATCAGCAAATACTTCCTGGTTTGAAGGAGGAACACTTTAGTTCTAGGGCCTGCTATGACGAAATTTATTCCCCAGCAGATTTTGATTTTACATATCTAAATTTTCACAGATTTTAAAATTCATTCTTCAGTCACAAGCACTATAGGCTGCTGACTACAATATTAGAAAGGGGAAGGAAAGTTTCAAAGACTAGTCTATGACATAGTTATAGCTGCTCTCAATCAACTTGAAAGGCAGCAGTGAATCTCAAGAGTTAGCCAAAACTTAAGAAGAATGCCACACAATTATCAATGGCAAAGCTCTGATTTCACTGTCAGAATCAAAGACTTGAGATGAAAAGGGAATATGACACCTTCCCCTTCCTCATCCCCTCGGCTCCTCTACTTATCCCAATGCTGCAATACTAATATCAAAGAAGCCGCAAGAAGAAAAAAAAAAGAAAAGACACAACCTTAAGGTAAAAACCTAGGCTCTAATGTAGACTGTGAAGATAAATATAAAAAAGTGATCAGATACTTTTGAAATATCGTTAGATGTCAGAGACGTGTTTGGGAACCAGTGCATAGGAGGTAGAAATTAGACACTCACCTGACTGTTAGCTAACTCTTTTTTCACTGAGGACTGTGCCTGAGGGAGACCCGGAGCTGGAGACACTCTGGACGGACTCTTCTTACTCTGAGGCAACAGGGCAGAGAAGAACCCCATCTTGGGGGAATGGGAAAGTGAAGCACTCCTCTGGCTACATACCATGACACTGGCCAAAACAGAAACACAATGTTGTTATGGGGTTGAAGGAGGAAGGCACGGCAGGACCACAGAGCTACTGGGGATATATAAGGTTTTCTCTCCTATCAGGGCTCAAGCTGTTTGGATAAGTTGGCAAGCTCCAAGCTATTAGCTTTCTTGGTGCTGACTCTGAGTATTAATGGAATCTGCTGCTTATCTGGGATGAGAGCATAACTTCTCTATCTTTCTTACAGAGCTCCAGTGTTAAGAAACTAAGAAGGTTTCATCAATAAAAGGCTCTGCTTTGGCTGGCTATTTCTTAAGGTCACTACAGAGTGTATACCATCTCATTTTCTCATCTAAAACTTCATACAACCCCATGCAGGCAACCTACATTAGAGAGCCGTACTAAGAATACAGAAGGCTGAGCTCATAAGTCTCTGAAAGAAAGACGACGGTACAAGTTGAAAAGACCTTCTGGGATAGTTCCCTCAACCGAGTAAGGCACAGTGTTTAGGGTAGAATAATGAAACAAAGGCATTACTAAGATAATACCATAGGGTAAAAAGGAGAAAAAAAGTACAAAGATAAGAACTACTTAATTCTTCCCAATTGAGTAAATGCCACTTAAACTCACAGTTCTGAGTCTCCCAGGCGGTCCATGTTGGACACATAATGAGGGAGTTTGTGTTGGACCACTGCCTCTTCCTCCTCAAGCTGCTGCTCTTCTTTCTTCATCCGATGGATTTCTGCTTGCAATGCAAAAAGCTATGTAGGGATGGGGCTGAGTTAGAAGGCATTCTTACCTGATCTGCCCTCAGGTCTAGGATGCTTTCTAGCTTTATCAGGTCTATAAATCTATCTCATCATCCCACAACATCTTCTCTAAAAGAGAATTCAAAAAGTAAGTCTGCCACACCAATACAAGTACCGTCTTGCCAACCAGCACATTTGGTACCAGTCTGTGGTATTAAAGGATATTTTTCCATATACAACAATCATACCTCTTGCTATTTGGGAAACGCAGGATCCCCCTTTTGGTCACAAACAGAAAACATGAGATCCCAACATTGTAACTACTGGAAGGGTAAGAGGGTAGCAAACATATTTCCTTTGGAGGGAAAACCAAAACTGGAAGAAAGAAGCCAACTCCGAGAGACCATCAAAAAGATTCGATGACTATCAGTAGTCTGACAATTTGACCATAAGTATTTGGGACAGGTCTTCATTCAAATTCATCAAGGCAGGGTGGTGGAGCAGCTAGCGTACTAGAATGGACAAAAGCAAGTCCTGGGTTCAGATCTATCTCTGAGGCTTCCTAGTTTTGAAATCCTGACAAAGTTACCTCACTTCTCTGCACAATGGCTTCCCCAACTGTGAAGTGAGAATAACAGCACCCACCTCACAGAATAAAAGAGATGACATATGTAAAGCACTCTGCAGACTGAGTGCTACAGAAATAATAGCTCATTATAATCAACATGGAGGTGATCGTCAAAAGCTATGCCAACAGAGCAAACACGTAGGTCCTCCCAAGCGAAACAGGTTTCAAGTATGAACGTGATGAAAACACCTCCCCTCATCCAAGAAGAAGCCTAGCTAAGACTAAAGAGGCTCATCAGCAACTCAAGCAGAGTCTCCTTAGAGGGCATGTCACCTGCAAGGGGGAAGGGAATACCCTCACCAATGGACCTTGGGAAATAAAGAAGAAGTCTCAGAAGGTAAAGGCACTTAAGCCCCAGACATTAGCATGTTGGTATTCCACCCAATTAAAGTTCTAGTTCTTTTTTGGTTCATCTATCCACAACTACGTCTCAATAAATTTGTTTTTAAGGCCTAACTGAAAGCTATATAGGGGTACAAATATCACCTGGGAACAGCAATAGGCATTGCTTATATACCAAGACCTCCTCCTTCTTGATACAGCCCTGCCAATTCTCTCCTAAAAACACTTTTCCCTCTCGTATTTCTTTAATGTACAATGTACAGAAAGACTCACTTTTACCTGTGCCACATGAACTGGTGCCAAGAACTATGACTAACGTCTTCCCATTTTTCAATTTACTCTCTGGTGCACCAAACAGGCCCACTCCATTTCTCAGTATTTTTTCGTCCAGAAAAATTAGCACTGAAAGTGGGGAAGACTTGGTAAAGACCACTTTGCTGGAGAAGTTTTTAAGTCAGAAAGTTAAAATGGTTTCTTTTAGTTACTCCACCTAAGGTAATAGGACAAAATTCCTATTTCTCAAAAAACCTAGAGATTTTTAAAGTCTCAGGGTTAAACAACCTGCCATTAGTTTTTCCCTTTAGATCTAACTTGCTCATTTCAGGTATGAAAGGGAACTCCTCAAACTATTCAGGCTACGGGACACATATGATCCAGCTCTGGATATTAGATTGAGTCTAAGAAACCAAAAGCCAAAGAGCTACCCAGAAGCCATTTCCACTGCTGAAAACAATCCAAATTTATGGTACCCAGAAAACAAAAACACTGAAATGGTTTCTCATGCTCAACCAGTGGAGGCCTCAGACTCTGCAAACTATTCATGTGGCCAAGCTCCCCTGACAACAGGAGAGGAGGCCTCCCCCACCCCCTCCTCGTGGCCACTGCTGCTACCTCATCACATGCCCAGAAAGCAGAAGGAAGTGCTTCCAAATGAGTGAGAAGCCGAGCAGAACAAACCAGAACAAACCTTCTGACGCAGAACTTCGTTTTCCTCTTGTACCTGAGAAGTTCGCTGACATTCAGCCTCAAAGTTCAGGATAACTGGCACTGGTGCACCAAGTTAAAGAATAAGCCCACCTGTAAAATATTCGCCAACAATTCCAACTCCCTCTGGCACATTACAGATGTTTAATGAAGTAAATGCTACAGAGCACATTTTTTAATGTTTAATAAAACTCTGGACTGTGGCAGCTCTGGTGAGGGTCAAAGAATACTAGACTTGGAATTAGAGACCTAGGACTGAATAGCAGCTCTGTCACTTTACAGCTGTGTAACCTTAAACAAGTTACGCCCCTCTCTGAGCCTGTTTTTCATCTGCAAAATGGGGATATTTATACTACCTACAATTCATCAGATAAAGATCAAATGAGATAAGGAGTGCAAAGCCATTTGTAAACTCTACCATGCAGTATAAATGTCAGCTGTTATTATTAACACTTTGCGACTGGCCTGATTTCCATCAGAACACTTCTTAGGAGCACACAGAAGTTTTCCTGGCCAGAAAATACAGACGTTAAAAAGCCAAATGACAGAAATTTTTACTTTTTTACATTTGAATGTTTTTTACAGTGATCATTTTTTTAAAAAAACAAATTTACAGGCCCCAGGCCTTAGCTAGCTAACAACAGGCAGTTGACTGGATGAGATCTTGGGAGTCTTGTGACTCAGCAGGCATGTGGCCAATTGGTCTGCTGAGAAATGTGAAAATCTATCAGATGGAGGAAAAGGGTCATCCATTTGCATCATTTACAACACTGTATGACAAAGTGTTCTTGAGCTTGTACAATAACCCAGACATCTACCTGCATTCACATTTTTGGTTTAGGACAAACAGTCCTTACTTCCTAACATCCTAACCTAACAGCCTCAGTCAAAACAGAGAAAACAAAGTTTAAACAGCCAGAAAAATAGACAGCACTAATATAAAAGAAAACAACAATGAAAGATAGCAGACAAATACAAAGGAAGGCAGCAGAACTCTCATCAATGCAGTGATGTCAGCAAACTATTGGGGAAACACACTTCCCTCCTCTTAGTGAAGGGGTGGTGGGTTACAGGTATGGAATGAGGCATACATAATCAGACACGGCCAGCTGTTGATTTCTTTTGTTTAATCATACTTCTCCGTTGTAAGGGAAGGTCTTATTGGGGTAGGAGGGATAAATGAAAGCACTGGAAAGTGGCAATATTGCTTTTTTAAAAAGCATCAACAAAACATTAAGGCAACTTGGTAAAGGGTTAAAGGCTGGACATGGGAGTCAAAAAGATCTGAGTTCAAATCCTGCCTCAGATATTTAATAGCTGTATGACTTCAGACAAGTCATTTAATAAGCCTGGGCCTTAGTTTCCTCACCTGTTAAGTGAGGAGGTTAGTCTGGACACCTTCTGAGTTCACTCTCAGCTCTAGCTCTATGAACTGACGAAGATTTAATTTTTTCTTAAAGCAAAGCTTTTCCCAACACCACATTTTCATCTAAAACTGCTTCCTGCCTTTAAGCTATCGGCTTTCTATTCCCTTTCACCAAAACAGTCTGACAAATACACAGCAGCCATTTCTCTTGAACAGGCAAATGTTCACGCCATGACTGCTCCTGACCCAAGTAACCAATACCTTCTCTCCAAGATCTCTTGCAGAAATAAGGGCAGGAACAAGGGAAAGAACACTTGGAAGATAAGGGCCAAACCAAATGAGAAGTCTTTCTCAACCCCACAAGAAAATGGTTCTTCCCAAAGGCAGAGACAGCACCCAAGGGGTGGGACTTGCTAACTAGGGACTTATCAGTACTTCACCAGGTGTCCTAATTCAAAAGAAAGCCTCCCCTTTTCTCTCTAGTATTTCAAGGCAAGAGAAGAGAGAATGAAGGCCATGTGCTTTATAGATCTTAGGCAGCCACCTTCAGTGATTAAAAAGAACTAAAGAGAAACTAAATGGCCATCTAGATTTAAACAAAAAACCCAAACCTATTCTATCATATTCCTGTAATTGCTGTCTTCTTCCCAAGGATCTCAGTAAAAGAGTTCCATTTGTTGCCAGAATTAGAGTAAAAACTGAGATTAACCAAAAGGGAAGAAATTCTAATTCTCATTCTGTTTTAAACTATATTTCTAGGTTATCATGTATAAGTCAACTTACTTCCCTGAGAGCATGTAGTACCCTCAATAGCGGCAGGTTCTGCTCCAATGTGATCAAAGGGCCACACTTAAGGACCTAGAGGGCCATGTGTGGCCTCGAGGCTGCAGGTTCCCCACCCCTGTCAGCTAGGTAATCGACTTCTTCTCTATTTGGCTACTTTAGTTTCCATGACTGAGAGGAGAAAACTATGATCCAGGTAACATGGTCTACTGTTCAACAGTAGTACCCTAATCCTTCCTACAAGACACTCCCTGACAAGTTTTAAGAAGCATGGCAGCAGAACTCTGACCCTTCAGGGGTCTGTGGTAGTAAATAACTTCATTTTGAGAGTTGCTTGAGGATCAGAGATCCAATGACTTGCTCATGTTCACACAGCTGGCAAGGGGCAGAGGCGGCACTTGAGGCCAGGTCTTCCCGATTCCAAGGACATTACTATCCATTACACTTTGCTGCCTCTCAAACATGATGCAATGTACTTCATATAATATTTTACATATTAAAATGATAAAGCACTGTGAAAATAAAAACACCAGCTGCAAAAGCAACAGCTGGAACTGTCCAGAGTGGCTCAGGGAGAGCCTATAGGAACAATCATTCCAAGAAGTCCTCCCCATTAGCCACTCCCAAACAGGTGGAAGGATATGCATGCAGTGAAACAGGACACTCAAGAAGTTGTGGAGGGACACAATGAAAGTGTCAGCCCACTGCCGGGAGAAGTAAGTGGCAAAGGTAGGGTTGGTATCTGGAGATGGGAGAAAGGGTAGGATGAACCAATCCTTCCACTCTGCTTGGTTCTGGAGTTCAGTGGCCTGCTTCACAAAGAACTCCTGAGCTTTATCATTTCTGTTTGTCTGCCAGTGACACAAAAGAGAAAAAAGAGAGTCAAGGAGTTAGATTCTTCTTTACTATATGTATACATTATATATATAGTCTATGTATATACTATACATCAAAGAGCAATCCTGAAGCCTCTACTACTAATTCAAACTACTTACTACCCCAAGGCCCCAAAGTCACTCCTCCAGATATCATGAAGGAAATAGACACTGACTGAGCTCAGGCACATTACTGTTTTCAAGTGTGGTTTAAAGAGACCCAATGAATGCAAAATAACAACCTGTAAACAATTCCTTTCTAATTTTCATGTAAAAAAGTATCTGTTCCTCAGGCAGGGGAAAAGCTTTACAACTATGTAGGAGGAAAAAGAGAGCCTAGGACTTGAAGGGAAGAGAGAAATAGGAACCAGAGAGGCAGACTGAGGTTTAAGGTTCTACACCGACACTAATGAAGAACAGAGAGGTCCGCCTGCCTCATAGCCACTTTCAGGATCCTCTTTCGAGGTTCAATTAAAATCTTTTTCTGATAACGTTTCCTCTTTATGGAAGATAAATCGCATTTGCTTCAGGCAAAGCCCCCAAACCCTAGGCACCTGGATTGTATAGATGAGATAAAAACGAAACAAGCTGGTCTTCAGTTTGTTGACAGCAGGCCGATATACATCCTCCAATCGGCTAAAGAGACGACGTTCAAGGTAGCTCCAATAATCTCGAAGTGCTGCCAGGTCATAAACTTGCATTAATTGCTGCAACTGATCCACAATCTTATCCACCTAAGAGCATGGGAAAGAAAAACAGATGGACAGGGACAGCAAGAAATAGGACTTCAATTAATTCAGTCTCTTTCTTCTGTGAAGGCTTCTGACCATCAAAAGAAATTTGCTGAGCCTTTCACCATAAAAACGTTAACACTTATTTATAAAAGCTTCAGTCACTCTTGAAAAAAGGGTGGTTTAATTTTTTTAAATTTAATTGACTTTAGATATTTGGTTCAACACCATAGTTACAAAGTCTTTTGACCTGAGTTCTAGTTCAGGCTCCACCAAAATCTTTCGCTGGGAACTTGAGTAATTCACTTAGCCACCTGTAAAATGAAGGGCATAAACTATGATAAGAATCACTAATGTCCTTTCCAGCTGTAAAATTCTATCCTAAAGGTGTATGTTGAGCCTATATCAATTTACATGCCATCTTGGGGGTGGGGGGAGGGAAGAGATGGGGAGAAAATATGGAACTCAAAACCTCATTGAAGTGAATGTTGAAAACTAAAAATAAATAAATAAATTTATTATTAAAAAAAAAATTCTATCCTAGGTCCTCTGGATGCATCTTTGAGATGTGGGGAACTAAGTCCCTCAGTGCAGCCTATATTTTTTTAAACTCATTTCACATTACTTCTTTCTATTTACATTCTAGTCAAGCTGGCCAGCTTGTTCCCTGAATTGAGCATTCCATTTCTGGCCTCTGCCCAAAAACAATCTCCTCCTTCACTTTCCTTAGAATCTCCAGCTTTCTTTCACAAGGCTCAGTTCCTGTGCTAACTCCAACCAGAAGCCTTTACTGAACCCCCCCCAGTCCTCAGTATTCTCTCCCTCCTCCTATTTTCTTTGGAGAGGCAGCCTGGTGGTGGAGTGGATAGAATGCTGGACCTAGAGCAAAAATACTTGGGTTCAAATTCTGACATTTGCTAGCTGTATGACCCCTCTAGGCCTCAGTTTCCTCATTTGTATAATGTGGGGAGGACACCTCCAAGTTCCTTTCCGGCATTAAACTTATGACGCTATCATCTGTATTTTGGTCAGCAAGCACTTCCTACGTACGGGCCAGGCTCTGTGTTTTTTTGCCCTTCTTTGTATCCTCAGCACTCGGCACAGGGCCTGGCCCGTAGTAAGTGCTTGCTACAAAGCAGAAAACAGACACAGCATCACAGGTTTAGAGCTGGAAAGGACCCCCCCGCCCTTGCCACCCATCTATCCACCCAAACACACACACGTACACGTACACAAGATCTATACAGGATAAACTGGATGTGATCTCGGAAGGGAGGTAAACTCCGGGGGGAGGGGAGAGTAGTATCCATTCTGCCTTGGTGTCCCAGACCGTCCTAGACCTATGCCTCGAATACCGAAGGCGTTTAATAGCAGCTGAGTGTAATTTGGCATTCGCGCATCTGCTATTCGCAAAGTCACCCGAGGATGCCACTCCCCTGACCACATAGGGAACTAAGCTGACGAGAATCTGCCACCCGGCCCCCTCCCACCTCAGTGCCCATGCACACAGCAGGCGCTTAATAAATGCCTGAAGGCCAGCGGGGCAGGTGAGCGAGGAGCCTGTTTCCGGAGAAGCGGCAGCCCAAACCAACGAGCACCGCTGAGGCAGAACCCAAACTTGCTAAGCCAGAGAGCCGGGGCTCCTCGGCTCACACACGTGGAAGCTCGGCCGCCGCTGGGCCGGAGATGCCTCCCGCGTCCGGTCGTGTCCACCGGCTGCTCGCGCTCCTCGGCCCCCGCCCCCGCCTCGCCGGGGGTCCCCGGAGCCCCGGCGGCCTCCTCACCCGGAACCCCTTCTCCTTGTCCGCCTTGATCTCCGCGTCCAGCTGCCGCAGGGTGTGCGTGAAGCCGCGGAAGAGCAGGTACTCGCGGACGAGCTCGTCTGTGCGCTCCACGGCCTCCGCCATCTCGCCCGCCGGGAGCCGGGAGCGCAGGGCGGGAGGGAGGACAGAGACTCCGCCGCGGGACGGACTAGAAGAGGGAGGAGCTGCAGAGGCAACCGGCACGCGCCGGAGCGGCGAAGCCGGAGCCGTAGGCGGCGTGTGACGTCACCACGTCGCTGGCCAGCCCCGTCCCCTGCCGCCGGAGTTACGCGTAGGCACGCCCCCTTCGGGGACACGACCTAATTGTCACGCTCTCTCCCGCCTTTGGCCCCGCCCCCATCCTATCCGGGGCAGGGCCGGGCAGCTCTCGTCAGTTCCAATGCTAACCCCTTACAAGATTTGCCTGTGCCCTAGAGAAGGATACCAGGACTCCAGATTTTAGAATTAAGCTTCCTAAAGAAAGAGAGAAGGGAAAAATGCCCAGCGGCTTAGTACAGTGACACACAATAAATGTTCATTAATTGATTAATTTGATCCTGCCATCTCCTTAAGCTATCCATCCTATCTCATTAAACTGCATCTCCAAACTCCTAAAATAGTAATCAACATTCGCTGACTTCGCTTCCTAACCATACTCCTTCAGACCTCTGCGATCCGACTTCAGACCCCAGCACGTTCCTGGGGTTTCATCTTTCATCTCTAAATTGCATTGCTGGTCTCTGTCCTGTCTACTTCCAAACTTCCAAAACTTGGTTCAGACACAACCTACGCTAGCGAATGTTCACGAGCTTCCCAAACCCCCTGAGTTTTGTCCTCCCCAATCCCGTTGTTATTCAATCTCTTGACTTTACATCTCTTAGGGGAGAAAACCCACAGTTTCCTTAAAATTGACAGCACTTTACTATCCAGTAGCGTCAAACAATGGATAAAGTGAGACACGGCCATCACTTTCATATCAACCAGGAAAGTACCTCCTCCACACCCCAGACTGGGGTCTGATCTCTCCCCACTCCCAAAACCATAAGTTCACCAGAGAAATCCCGGCAGATTTGTTGCCTCCTTTAACTCCTAATATCTCTAATATAATCTCCTAATACTGTGGGAGAAGAAATAGCTCAGCCACTTATGGAGTGTAGTAGAAAACTTTGACAAAATTCTTGGGATATACTGGTCCTCACACCATGGTCGTGGGAAGCTTGGCTATCCCACAGGATGGTTCTACAGTCTGTGCTCTCCCCTAGATTGTTTGTTTCTCCCCCCACCCCACCCCCATCGGAAACAGTAAGTCTGGATTTAGTAGTAATAGGAAATTTATTATTAATAATAAATAGCTAGGATTTGTATAGTGTTTTAAGGTTTGCAAAATGCTTTACGTATATTATCTCACTTGATCCAATGATTACAATATCCTAGCTAGTTAAGAGATGGTTTGTAGGGTACCCTGGCATAGTAGCTATTTATTTTCCTCTCCACCTTTTTCTTGGCTTTAAGACTTTCTGTCTCACATACAGATACAGGGTTTCCCATATCAAACTCATGAATGTTTTCCTGGGAAGGCATATCCTGTTCAGGGCCTTCTCCCAATGAACACTTTCTTTGTCCATATAGACTTCTGGGAGATTTAATCCAGGGAGTGTCCTTACAGTGTCCCACAGACACAAGTGTCCCACAAATATGAAATCTGATGACCTTTTCTCAGCTTTTCTTCTTCTTGACATTTCTTCAACATTATTTATGGTTGACCAACTCCTCTTGAACACTTTTTTCTCTTTTAGCTTCTAAGACACAACCTTCACCTATGAATTCTTCTTTGAGAAGTTCTTTTTCATCTTCTCTGATTAGTCCTCAGTCTTCTTTGCTAGGCCATCTTCTTCCTTCCTCCCTAGACTATGTCCTGGGCCTTCTTCTCTACTATCTCTATACTCCCTTTGGGTGATCTCAGTCATTCCCATGACATCAGCTATCATGTTGAAAGTCTCAGACCTTTCTAACCAGCCCTAATCTCTCCCCAGAACCCACATCTTCAAATATCTTCTAGACAGCTAAACCTGGATTTCCACATACTCCTCATACTCAACATGTCCAAAACTGAACTCACCCTCTTTCCTGCAAATCTGCCCTTCCTCTCAACTTTCTATTTCTGTCAAGGGCACCATTATCTTCTTAGTCCTTTACTCTAAAAACCTAAAGGTCATCTTGGATTCTTCCCTCTCTCTCATCCCTTCTACCCAATCAGATACCAAGTCCTGTTGATTCCACCTCCACAACATCTCTGTCAACCACCCTCTTCTCTTTAGTCATGGCCATTATCCCTGATTCATGTACTTCTTGCCAAGATTATCATGATAACCTCTTAACCGATCTTTTTGGCTTTCAAAAAATTGCATCACCTCCAGGAAAGACCCCTTCTGTGCATACTTGATATGGTTAGACTTTCCCATTTTTTAGTTTCTTTTCTATTTCTTCCTGTACTGTACCAAGACTAATACTAGATATTAGAAATCAAAATGTAGCACCTCTACTGTCGTTGATAAAGAAAATAGTTTGTTGTACAAAACACACATTTTCCATTTTTGTTGTCTGGCCTGGTTTTATCATGAAGTACTGTCAGGATGATTTGGCTTAAATGGGTCTCTTTTATACTTTTTCTCCCTATACACACTGAATCTTGCTGTTTTGTGATATGATACTATACATAATGTTACACAGTCTTCTTTCATAAGATTATATCAATGAGTTAATTTTGTAAACTTATGTTGTCCTTGGCTATAGCAGCTTTCCTTTTGGCAAAAAGATTAAATATTTACCAGCTGCAGTAGTTTCTAGGTAATTTTAGTCTCTTCATTGTAGTGATTAGTTTACCTTAGTTAAACTTATTTGGAAAATAATGGTAATCTCTATCAATATCCATTCCTTTATCCATTTACCATTTTTCAACATCGGTGGCTTATTCAGATGTTCTGGTTGGAGTTATTTTTATTGCATGTTATATCAGCTTCTCATTTTTATCCTTTCTTCTAATCTAATTTTGATATTTGCTCTAAAACCCCAAATTTTGTTGTACCTCAGTGTGGTACAGTGGTAAGAGCACTGGGTATAGAGTTGGAGGTCCTGGGTTCAAGTCCTAGCTCTTCCACTTACTAACTATATTCCCTTGGGAAAGTCGCTTAATCTTCACAGACCTTAATTTCCTCATCTGAAAAGTGAGGGAGTTAGGCTGTATGACTCTCACTAAATCTATGCTCAACAGTCCTGTGAACTTTTGAGTACATTTTTTGTAATATATATTCTACAATTATCTGTGTATCTTATCTCCCTAGTATACTATAAATTCGGTGAGAACAGGACCCACATATTATTTAATATTTGTATCTCTCCCAACACCCATACATGCATTTACAAAAAGCCAATGTCTGACTTCATATAACAGTTGATTCAGAAATGACTTTCTTTATTAACCAGTTGCTTCCTGTTAGTTAAAATCTAGTCAACTTCGTTTTTGGTGCTTATCACACGAGGTAGCTAGGCGTGAAGTTGGTTTATCTGTTTGTTTGTTTTTTGTCTACAAGTCTTTGTCCACTTTCATTTCTTGATCCTGGGCCATATATTTAAACACAGTTTCCACCAGCCTCCTCTATGCTTTTGCACTGAAATCACAGAGTATAAAGTGTGCTCTGTTTTAATTTTTGCCTTACTGTGTTTTGCTTTTAATTATATTTTATTTATTTAATTATCAAGCATTTGGTTTTTTTCCTTCCACCCAACTCCCCCTACCCACTGGGGAAAAAAAAGGAAAAACAAATCTCTTATAACTAATATTCAAAGTCAAGTAAAACAAATCCCCATGTTGCTCATGTCCAAAAATATATGCTTTGTTCTGTATATAGTCTATCACCTCTCTGTCAGCAGATGGGTAACATTCTATATCACTAGTCCTCTGGAATTATGGTTGATCATTGCTTTGAATAGAGTTCTTGAGTCTTTGAAAATCATTGAATTTTACGATTCTGCCCACTTTACTCTTCTTACAAGTCTTTGCAGGTGTCTCTGACTGTTTCTTATGACATAATATTCCATTATATTCATATGACATAATTTAATTATTCCCTAGTTGATAGGCATATCCTCCCCAATAGATTCCAGTTCTTTGTCACCACAAAAAGAGCTGATACAAATATTTTTGTACATATAGGACCCTTTCCTCTTTTATCTCTTTGTGGCGTAGGTCTTTTGCCATCTCCTTCTCCAGCTCATTTTACAAATGAGGAAATTGAGGCAAACAGAGTTAAGTGTGTTGCCAAGGATCACATAGCTAGTAAGTGTCTGAGGCCAGATTTGAACTCAGGAAGATGAGTCTTCCTGACTCCGGGCCCGGCACTCTATCCACTGTGTCACATTATGATCTTTTTCTTTTTTTATTGTTCAAGATTCTTGTAAATGTTACATCAAATTGTTTTGGGGCGGAGAGTGATATCAGAAGACGGGGGGAACTATTTGGGGACAGTTTGGATTGCTCTCTCTGCAAGCTAGAAATGACTTGGATATAAATTAGTGATAAGTTAAATAAAATTGTTTCTGGAAGATTTGAGCCTAAACTGCAGAATACATTATTGGTATTATTTTCTTTTCTTCAACTCTGAGATCACATGGCAAGTAAGTGGCAGAGGTGAGATTTGAATCCAGTAGTTAGGGAATGAAAATAGATTCTATTCTTTTGTAATTAAATAATGGCATTTCCATTTTGGTTTTGTGCCACCTGCCGATCCTTGAACATACCTGAGATCTGCAGCAACTGCTCCTCCCTTCCTGCCTCTAGGCCCAGCACTCTATTCACTGGGCCACCATAAGGTATTAAGATTGGTTTTAATACTTCTAGGTATTTGTTATAATATTTAAATTTTTTTTAAAAATACCTTTAGATGGTGCAGTGGACAGGGTGCTGGGCCTAGATTCAGGAAAACCCTGAGTTCAAATGTTACTTCAGACATCAATAATTTCTTTGAAATGGGACTATTAAACCATAGTGTATTGGATTTAATCTCAAAGACACCCTAAATTTTTAAGTCTTATACATATTCTGAACCAAAAATTTAGCTAATATTTTCTTCAACCTACGGGATTATGTGAATAAGAACAAGAGCCCCTGGACCCCTTCCCATAGACTGAGCCTACAGAAAAGTCTGGGGATCACAAACATTTGCTATATAAAAATAATAATTATATGTTGCACAGTGGGTCCATATAACCTAAAAAGGAAAACCCGAGAGTAGTAACTGAAACTATAAAATTATTAAAATCAAATAACTCTTTTAGATATCAAAGCCTACTCTTTCATAGTGTTCATTTTTAAGGTTATGCATCTCACATCTCTTCTCAGCTAC